GTTTATGAAATTAATGTTTCTTTTTCAAACAATGCACTTGAAAACTCAGTACAAATAACGTGTAATGTGTTACAGCCAACTCAATAGCAATCAACAATGAGAAACTGTGTGAATAGCTATACATGGCTAGCTACAAAAAATATTTTTCTCTAAGACATGGAACCTGTAAAGATAATATGAAGTTGGTGGTGGTTTAAAATTTTAATTACCCTATTTTCCCTAGAATCTAATATTTCCAAAACTGCTTCGGCTTTTCTTTACTCTCCAACCCGAATAATCCAGTCATTTAAGCTTAAATTAGGTAAGAATCTCGGAATTCGAGATACCCAGCTGTAAGTCTGTAAATACTTGTATATTGACACCCTAAAAGTTGTCTCAAAACCTACATATGGTAGGGTGTAAGCAACTATTAAATTTNCTGTTAGTTGCTTAGTTGCTAATATGAAAATGTTGAACAAATTCTAATAAAGGTTAGAGTTTCAGATTTACAGTTTCTCTATATGATGTAGTAAATGGATGTTTCTCATCTCAACGGAGTGAAAAGTCTGATGATCTTCGGATGGTGTGAATTGTGAATGATTACAATGGACTTTTTCATGTAATACTTCCAGTATTATGTTACCGACTTGGTGATGAAATATTTTGTTGAGTTTAATTACTTATTTCAATTGTTTATGAAATTAATGTTTCTTTTTCAAACAATGCACTTGAAAACTCAGTACAAATAACGTGTAATGTGTTACAGCCAACTCAATAGCAATCAACAATGAGAAACTGTGTGAATAGTAATACATGGCTAGCTACAAAAAATATTTTTCTCTAAGACATAGAACTTGTAAAGATAATATGAAGTTGGTGGTGGTCTGAAATTCTAATCACTCTATTTTCCCTAGAATCTAATATTTCCAAAACGGGTTTGGTTTTTCTTTACTCTCCAACCCGAAATCACTCAACGCTAGTTAACTTAGTAACTCAAATTCAGTGACACTGGTTTCAAAATGAGCTATTATATTTTTTCAATTGGCATAACTGACAAAGTAAAAGTTTTATACCAGATACAAACTGAATTTCTGCCTTTATTCAGACATATTGTAAAAAGCAATATTTGTTCAACTGTAGTTTCTTGTTTCACTTTTCTTGGTTTGACGTATAATGCGTGGAATAAGATGTCGTTGCCTTTTATTTCCAAAAGAAATATGGAAACTATTTTAAATCCATGTCAAAACGTCACGAAACGAATGATTTGCAGATGGATGTAATAATGTCCCAGAAAGGTACTGGGAGCAGATCATTCAACAATTTGGAAGCTGATTGATAGACTCAATAACCGATATAAAACTGAAAATTGCAAGAGGAAATTTCACAAAAAAATTAAGTTATTCAGGAATAGAATTTCGTATGAAAGGGATGATTCCGGTATAACAAATTGATTTTATTCGTGTCATATCAAAGTCTCGATAATTTGAATATTACTGGAGTTTTTTCCCAACACCAAATCGTTATTTTTAACCCTTTGGAGTCTATCGGGACATACGTGTCCCATCCATGTATTTCGTGCGCCTAGTGGTCCAAATAGATCCCGTTTTTCCATTATACATAAATATATCAGTCTCTAAACACACACTATACAAGTATTTGTTTACAAGTGGTCACATAACCTCACAGTTTGCCGGTGAAGTCCGTCCAGCCAATAAGTGCTTTGCGTTTCACTATATTCTGAAAAATTTGCAAGTGTATTATTGCCCTAACTGTATTGTGTCTGCTCTCTAAGGTTAGTAATAAGCAATGCACTAGTTTTCAAAGATCGTGTACTAATAAAACCTGTTGAATTTCATTACTTTAGACTGTGGTACACCTGGGTCCCACCAGGCATTTTGAACGGGACACATTTGTCCCGGTGGTTCTGTACAACAATGAGTAAAAGAATATTGACACAAAGAGAGCTTGAAGAAGAAGCTAATAGAATTATAGAAGATGGCTTGAGTGATGACGACTATGACCCATTTCATTGTGAAGACTCATCAGATGAAAATTATTGTCCCTCAGAGAGCGATAATAGCGAAGATGATGAAAATTATTGTTCCTCAGAAAGCGACAATAACGAAGATGAAATTATCGCTGATGATATAAATAATGATGATGAAATTAGTCAAGAAGGTAATGAGACAATCGGAAGTGAAAACGTAGTGGCACCAGATGGAGTAGTATTTTGGAGTAGCAGCAGTCAACAATTTTCTCCCAGATTCTGTATACCTGACGAAGCAGCAGCTACTTCTTGCCTGCCGAGACAAATGAAGGAAGTTGAAATTTTCTTGAAGATTTTTCCTAGAAGCCTACTCATGCAGATTGCTGAATAGATCTAACCGATCAATATGCGGGCTTATACGACTTCGACAGAAGATCAAATAAGTGGTGGAAAAAAGTTTTTTTCAAACTCCTTATGATAGCTGCAAGAAATGCTCATATTCTCTACGATGATGTAAGATGCACAAAAACTTCATTCCTGCCATTCCTAATTACAATAGCAGAAGATTTGATTGCGTTGGGACGAAGTGGGGCAAGTGTGAAGAGAAAATCAGCAACATCTTTAGGGCGACCTAGTTCGAAAAAACGAAAACATCAAAATGTGGGCGATCATTTACCTATTGAGGGCCCCACAAGACGTCGCTGCTGCAGATGCGCATAGATGCAAAAAGAAGTAAGAACAAAAACATTGTGTCAAATGTGCAATAAACCTCTGTGCAAAAATTGCTTCANTTTACGAATGTCGTATTGACATTTGATAGATTTTTCTCTTCTGTGAACTTACTTGATACTATCAAGTTTCCTGCTGTCGGAACTCTGATGAGAAATCGTAAAAATGTTCCCAAATTTTCTGGAAACTTGAAACGAGGAGAAAATCAATTTATGTTCAATGAAAACGGTACAACAGTTTGCAGATGGCAAGACACAAAAGAAGTGTTGGCGATCAGTAACTGCTTCTCTGATGAAACTACTCTAGTAACACGAACTATGAAAGATAGCACCAAGAAAGAATTCTCCAGTCCGACAATGTTGAAGTTTTATAATGACCATATGGGAGGAGTAGATCTAACCGATCAATATGCGGGCTTATACGACTTCGACAGAAGATCAAATAAGTGGTGGAAAAAAGTTTTTTCAAACTCCTTATGATAGCTGCAAGAAATGCTCATATTCTCTACGATGATGTAACACGCACAAAAACTTCATTCCTGCCACCTAATTACAATAGCAGAAGATTTGATTGCGTTGGGACGAAGTGGGGCAAGTGTGAAGAGAAAATCAGCAACATCTTTAGGGCGACCTAGTTCGAAAAAACGAAAACATCAAAATGTGGGCGATCATTTACCTATTGAGGGCCTCACAAGACGTCGCTGCTGCAGATGCGCACAGATGCAAAAAGAAGTAAGAACAAAACGTTGTGTCAAATGTGCAATAAACCTCTGCGCAAAAATTGCTTCACTCCTTACCATCTGCAATAATGTTCTATATGTTATCCAATATAATTTAAATGGAAATATATTAATAAAGAAAAGACAGACATTAATATATCTCATCTAAAATGTCTAATGGGACACATATGTCCCGGCCCTTAGCGTAAAAAAGGCGTAACCTGCATTCATAAAACTAACATTTCTTGATATAGTATCCACATTTACATAAAATTTGACCTCCAATATATCACAAGTATAAGAAAAATAAATCAGACTCCAAAGGGTTTCAACACCTCGACACGTGTTTCGATCACCAAGTGATCATCTTCAGCAGGAAGATTTAACTGGATATTTTGTCGATATAAATAATGCAATGAATAAATAAATGATAATAAACATTTATGTCGTACGTTTCTCCCAATAATGCGTGAATAATTTTTTCCATAGCAACTTTTCGGATGAAATGCATTGCCCATAAAACGTAGTCCATTACTCAATAAATTTGTACGTTTAAAAATTACATATTTTTGAAATGTGCTTAGTAAAATACTAACAAATCACCTAGTTGGTCAACGTCAATTGGCTGTGTTGTGAGTGAATGAATTGTAAAGATAACTTTGTTGTCAATCACCTAATTAGAAAAAATCACAGGTAATGATAAAGCTGATGAATGCGCTAGACACGGATCATCAACTTCATATATTGGTCCTGAACCAGCTCTGGGGGTACCAAAATCATTGGTACGAAACCGGATTAGGATATGGACCAATAAGAAGCACACAGAGTACTGGACAAAAGTACCTGGCAACAAACACAGTAGAACCTTCATTAGGGAACCGAGAGAAAAGAACCGAAGAACTACTTCAATATAGTAGGGAATCGGCTCAGAATAATTACAGGGTTACTAACTGGTTATTGTCCGCTTAGAAGACACCTGAATAAAATGGGGCTGTACAATGGAGAGCTCAGCTGCAGATTATGCAACGAAGGGATAGAAACAGCTCTACAGATCTTATGCGAATGTGAGGCACTGAATCACAGGAGGCAGGCAATATAAAGACGTACAAAATTACGTCCAGAAGAATATGACGAACATCCAACATGGAACTCGTACAAACTATTGCAGGAAACGAGACTGATGGAATGGGCGTCATGAGAAGATGGGAGAATAAACGCAATAAGTTTTCTGAAGATTTGGACTAAATGGACAAGTCAGACAGCTCCCAAGGTACCAAAAAAAAACACCTCGAGAACTGCGTTTATGTGGATTTAATCTTCAGCGATTCAAATCCAATGTGAATCGCTACTTCCGCATAGGCAACGCTCTGAGAGCCTCTTGAGGACTTTACTGTAGTGATAGTGTTTTCACCTTAAATGAAAAGTTGCAGTTGAAACGTTGAAACCTAATCCAACCAAAGATCACGGCAAGCCGGAAAGCCTACAGTCCTATACTGATACTTTTTGTTCAAATATTCATCTAGGGATGTTGGTGTCTTGTATACTCTGTGCTCCCATAATCATTCCATCTTTCGTTTTTGTTTTCAGAAACTCAGCGAGCTCAATTACGATACGAATACCATAGTCCAACGATATATCGAAAAACCTTTGCTCATAGGAGGGTATAAATTCGATTTAAGACTGTATGTTTGCATTCCTTCCTATCATCCAGTTACCATCTACATGTACAGGGAGGGCCTGGCTCGTTTTGGAACCGACAAATTCAGTCTAACCGATCTGAGGAATCCCTTTCGACATCTAACTAACTGCTCTATAAACAAGTTGGGTCCAGGGTATGCAGAAATGAAGGATCGGGTGGGATCTGGTAAGTCTCAGGAAAACTTATTGTTCAACTGAGTTGAGAATACTCAGTGATTATATATAATGAACGTTTGTTTGAAAGTGGTTGACAATGTTTCATGACGAATTTTGTTAGTTCGGACTTCCATTATCTAATATGATTTGAAATCTATAAATGAATACATTTTTATTGTTGTTGAAATAAATATTAAGTATTTACACAGGTCAATATAGCACAGATACAGAAATATAACTTAAAAATTAAATGAAATATATCGAAGTAGGTACGTAGTTTTCACAATATCAACAATTTGGAGTTTTCATTCCATTTTCTCAAAAACAAATACAATAAATACAACATTCTAAAGAATACATTCCATTTCAAATCTACTGTTAAGGAATTCATCGTAGCTGTAGAAGGCTTTCTTTATTAAGTAATCTTTCAATACAATCTTCAGTTTATTTGTTTTAAGATCCCTGAACTGGCAATGTAGTTTGTTGTAGAATTCTGGAGCATAATAAAGTGAAGCATTTCTAGATTTATATAGTCTAAGATTATTCATTTTTATATTGTCTCTTTTCCTTGTGTAGTGATTATGTACATTGCTTTGGGTTTTGTATTGACTAAATCAATAAACTTTTGTTTGACATCGGCACGATACTCCACGTTGGAAAGTACCTACATGCATTGCTTTTCTCTGAATGAAATAAAATTAGAACGAATAGCTAAACTATAAATTATAACATGTGATAACACGTGAAATGGAAATACAATGAAAAAAATCAAATGATCAGGATAAAAAATTAATTTCATAAAATACATCTCACGATTTGATCTTTCAAACTTGATGTTCAGGAAGTTCACAAAGTCGTACTGTGTAATTTATGAAATTACTATGGATCCTCTTCAAGTAACGGCCGAATCAATCAGGAAAGAAAATAATAATGACCAGAGAGTGAAGAGAAATAAAAAAAATAAAAATAGAAATCAGCAAGAAAATAAAGAAATCAAAACAGATTTCAAACCAAGCTACATCAAGATGTTTCACTTGCTACAACCTATTCCCTCTTCTCTCTCTCCGCTTCACCGCTTTAGCGGAAGTTGACCGTTTCCCTGCTTGATTACTGGTTTTCATATGTTGCGTATTTCTACGCTATCTTTGCTGAATACATCGGTTGACAACATATATGCAGTTTCTTTGAACTTCCTCTTGAACTAATGTTCCTCCCTGTGAATGATCTCGTAAACAATATCGACACCTGCTCTCAACTGTTACATATGTTGAATTTTTGGGTTCCTAGACGGTCATCTAGGAATAGTGTCACATTTTATCTCAGCACTCCGCGTACGAATATAATGAAAATATCTTCAATTTATACAATGTGCGACACATCTAATTCTGTTAGTCATGTTCTAGATATATTCAACTGCCAGATTATACAAATCAAAGGACATTTCTTAGCTAACTGACAGTTCTGTTTTTATTTTTTTTATATAGATTCACAAATTGAATTATGTAAGTACATATTTGTAAATCCCACTGTTATTCCCTATTCTGTAATTGTATTCATCCTGTAGAATAGTGTATGAAATGAATAAATAAATAAATAAATGAATATTTCAGCTATTAATTCTGATTTTATTTGTTCTTTCATAGATTTTGAATCATATTGGACAATGGAAGTCCGAATTAGTAAAATTCATACAAAACGAAGATTTTACTGTTGTTGTTTTAGGTTGCAAATGGACACTGCGACAACTGAGGAGATATTTTCAGCAAGCTGGTATATCAGACTGGTTGCTGTGGCAAAGAATAACCTCCCTTGTTATTTTAACTGTGCTCAGCCATGTTAGCCAGATCCCACCTACCGTAAATTGTTTCGAGTTTTTCGGTTTCGACGTTTTAATAGATAATTCTCTGAGGCCTTGGTTACTAGAGGTTGGTATGAATAAACTAAAGTTTCTTCTAGATACTCAAGCAATGATTTTGGGATATTACGAAATTTTTAGCTATTAATTGATATGGCAGTTAGAAAATGAAATAAGAACAGTCTTTCAAAATGTTTCTCATGTACCCTTAACATGGTCAGCGTAACAATACTTACTATTTGCAATATCACAAGGGAGGCGTTGAGTTTATAGATCTCCATTTTTTCTAATTCCAGGTAAACCTGAGTCCAGCCCTGAGTAATGACTGTGATGCAGATAGATTAGTCAAGAAGCCAATGCTGCACGACATGTTTGATCTTCTTGGACTGCCCCTTTATAATACTGGACTAGCCGTGTACAGTATATTTTCTGATGAAGCCAACGACGAAGCCAGGTATTAAATAATTGTTTTCTTGAAATTTTTCATTTGGAGTTACTAATTATCTAAAAGAACAACAACTACTCCCCTAGCTGTTGGCGATACAACTGGCGGATTCGATTTTCAATTATTGGAACGGCTACACTTGCAGACCGGTTTCGGGCTATTTGGCCTATCTTCAGTGTCCATCCTTAACATAAATGATTTTCTTAAATAAAAATGCAATTCCTTTCAAAGAACCGGTCTGCAAGTGTACCCGTTCCAATAATTGAAAATCGATTCCGGCAGTTGTATCGCCTACAGCATATGCAGGAATCACTATCGTGAAGAATCTTGCACTGACACCTGTTGAATACAATCCAACACCCTTCGTGGTATTAGACAGGGGAGTAATTGTTTTCTAATTGGGTGACAGTACATACTTACAAAATGTAGGTGAGATGAACCTGGTCTGAACGAATTGCTTTCTTAGATAATTTGATTTACAGCCAGACTTCATTAGATCCCCTCACTACATGTGAAACTTCGACTTACAGTCGAGTTGAATAAATCCCCTTCAACTAAAAACTACCTTGTGAACTGTAACTGTAGGGTAGGGAGGGTGAGTGTAGACCCACAGCACTTAGGCCACATGTGACCCATTGTACATCCTCCCGAAGAATTGTCCTCCTAGGTCATCGTCCATCTTGTACTTTCCAGGAAGGTGGATAGGTCACTAGTAGACATTCCCTTTATATCGCCAGGTGTAGGCCAAGACTCGCCGAACACACACTCTCTTATTGACGATAACTCCAGGCACTCGCACAGGACATGCCTGACAGTCTCATCTTCCTGTTCACACATCCTGCATAGAGGTGTGTTCACTAGCCTCATATTATGGAGGTGTTTCCTCAGTTGACAGTGACCAGTCAGAAATCATACTGTTGAGCGTAGATTTTTCTGGTCATCGCCAAATATTTCTTTGGCGTCAGCTTTTCAAGGTCGCCCAGGGTGATCCTGGCAATAATGTATCTTTTGATTCCATCCCATCTCTTGAGGGATTGAGAATGGGTATGACGTTTGGCTAGTTTCACAATTGTCGAAGTCATCAGGCCGAAGGTGTCACTGGGTCTTAAAATTCTATGTCCAGTCGCTTCCTTGGCTGAAGAATCTTTAATGTGATTACCTTTACTTCTGTCGTGTCCTTCAACCCACCTCAGAATAATGTTATTATCTACCGAGGCTTTGGCTAAATTTTGGGGGTATTCTAATACTAGCCCTAAGTAACACGTCTGTTGGAGGCTAATAGGCCTTGTCTACTATCAGTGCAGATTGTTATGTTTTTGCCAGAAATTCCTTTCCTGGTTATTTCTTTGAAGCGATTGAGATACCATCCAGTTCTGTTTGAACCACGCTGGCATTTTTTGCCATTCCCCATTTAATCCTTAGGCTTAATGATCTAGAGTACACTCCAGATCCTGAGCCTTCTTTGGTTTTGTGAAAACATATAATGAATTAAATGTTATGTTAATGTAAGGTTTGATTTCTATAAAATGGAATTTATGTGGAAACTACGTTAGTGATTATAGTTTATTCCGCAGAATAATCAAGTTTTTTAGACTAAACCTTAACGATATCTTTGACAATGTTTTTTGTAGTAGTGAGAAAACGTGTCATGATACCTTCTAACTCTGTCATTTCGATTTCTCATATTCGTTTGAAGAGAATGAAAAACACAAAGGTAATAATGTTGAATCCAATTTCACATACACTCACTGACTTGTCTGAATCATAGATACAGTTACCTAACCAGCCAGTTGTGAACAACCTCTCAGACATTGTTATCTGATATTGTCATGCCTCATCATTGTTTTTTATTGACAGGGAAGATATAGAAAATGCCAAACTATCTCTGATGAACACAATCTCCGTCGTAAATGCTGCTGGTCGTTGGAGAAGAAAACAAAAGAAGATGTCTGCATTGCATCCCCGATCAGGATATGCCATACGCACTAGAAGTAGATCGACTTCTGCCAATATTCAAAGTAAATGTTAATTTCGAAAACTCCAATCTTTCTTCATTTCTCTGTATATTTTTTATTTCAGAGACTTACATGACTTTACCAAGGGTTCAAATAGACGTACATGGTCTAGGTTCACCAACTCATACTAAACCAACAACAAAACCAGTAAGTGTCGGTATCACATGAAAGTAAGAAAATAATACCATTACATCTGTTAACTTACTTGAAGTTCATGAATTTTCTATCATAAATGATCAACCAATGAGAATCAATAACTATAGTGATACTTTAATTGAATGCTGATCACGTCGCTGGTCATTGCCTAGTCTACTGTGAATTTGACGACGAAGCTATTGTTACAGCCTCAAGTTACAGCCTAGCAAGAGCTCTTCTTGGAAAATATTCATGTGTTGATGTAGAAACTTCTTCTCAGATCCAAAAACTTCGGAATACCTGTGTTTGCCTAATTTTCCTGCTCAAATGTAAATACTATGTAACAACACATTCATAAACAATCTCAGTATCCACTAACGAATCAATAATTATTGCAAATCACCATTTTCTAGAAACTCAGGTCGAACTGAGTTCCTAAGCAGGGGATAAGTAGATACCTGAGATAACATTTTCAGAAGCAGGGGTAGCTCTCTAGACTATATTAGGTCCAGTCGATCACGAATATATAGGGCTTTCTAACAGGGACTTCCGAACTTTGATAATTGATAACGGCCATCTTGTTGAAGCTACATCTGTCAAATTAGTTGTCATTTAGTCAGTCTGTGTTGCCAAATCACCATGGACGGATATATCATTCAAAACAACATGTGTAGATGATAATTTTTTTTTCATCAAAATGAGAGTTCTGTTCGGGCAACGTACCGTTCACTTCGCTCATTTCACGGTCACCATAATCGTCCCAAAGACAGGACTATTTGTAGTGTGGTGTGATAGATAAAGACCGTAGACAACAACGTGTGTTCGCTAAATGACACCCGACCTTATTTTTCATCAAATATTCATCTTTAGCGATGAGGCTCATTTCTGGGTGAATGGTTACGTGAACAAACAAAATTGACAAATTTGGGACGATACCAATCTACATAAGATCCAAGAGCGTCTAATGCATCCCGAAAAAGCCACTGTTCGGTGTGGATTATTTTGGGCTGGCGACGTCATCGATCCATATTTCTTTGAGAACGACGTTGGCCAGGTGGAGGTGATGTGAACTGGCCACCGAGGTCGTGCTATTTGACTCCGTTAGACTTTATCTTGTGGTGCTTTCTTAAGTCGCAGGTGTATGCGAATGAGTCACAAACAACAGCGTTTCTCAAAGCTAACATAACTAATGCCATGCGTCAAATTTAGCCTCAAATATGCACCAGAGTCATGGAAGATTGAGCGTTTCGTATAATGGCATCAACAGGTATTTCAAACGAATGATAAATTTTGATTATATCTCATACGAACTATATTATTTCAAAACGATTTTTCCTGATGAACGGTAATCTTAATACATTTTACATTTGAAATCAAAACGAAAGCCGTTTTCTTCGTGAATAATGAATTTGACTAACTTGTAGTTTATCACTTTCTATTCATATCCCTTTTTTTTCGTTTTACGATCAAAGGAATGTAACTTAGTTTTGAGTTACATACTGAATAACATAAATGTATGCACATACATGTATGAAAATATCCTAGTAATGTGGTAAAATAGCATCACTATCATGATCATCATTCATATTTTTTTCTAGGTATATGATGATCATAAGAAAACGAACCTAAAAAGTTGGGGTAACGGTCGAGATTGGAATTTACCGAAACCCAGAGAAGGTGGATGGGTGCGGATATGGCCTCTGGCAGTAGAAGTTTCTGAAAAGCCCACTAATAATATCAATAATGGTCATGTTAAGGGTATGGTTAATAAAGTATGTACAAACTTCCAACACAACTACGGTGTAGGTGAACAGTTCATTTCTAAGAAAACAAAACTTGTGTCGAAGCTATTATTCGGGTTTTTGACAGTGATCTGAAGCTTTTTATGCTACTGCGGTAGACATCGTCGAAGGCCATGAGGCATAGGACGAAGTGCTTTGGTTATCCTCATAGCACATACTACTTCGTTTAATGTTTGAGTCTTCTGCTTCAGTCTATCTCTTTTGGACATGGGTTTGCTTCTATTGGCTGGATTGATCTGATTCGTTTATTGTTGAGTGTGGGTAGCCAGATTCTATTTATGTTAATTCCTCCTCCCTTTCGGTTCAGACTGTTTTTGTGTGAGTGACAACAATTTCCCGCATCAGACAATAACATCTCCCCTCACGTAGAATTCATCTATTACTACACTAGGTCCATTGCGAAACAAAGTTTTCGGGCCCTGATTTTAATCGGTTGCCTTGAAGTGAAAAACAGAAGACGAATCTAATACGGCTGTCGATGTCAACGCTTGAACCGTCTTGGGAAGACTCATATACCTTTGATTCGTGGATTGAGTCTTTTGTTGATCCCAGAGACGTGTCTTTGAAGGGAGATATGCCATATAACATCTCCCCTCACGTAGAATTCATCTATTACTACACTAGGTCCATTGCGAAACAAAGTTTTCGGGCCCTGATTTTAATCGGTTGCCTTGAAGTGAAAAACAGAAGACGAATCTAATACGGCTGTCGATGTCAACGCTTGAACCGTCTTGGGAAGACTCATATACCTTTGATTCGTGGATTGAGTCTTTTGTTGATCCCAGAGACGTGTCTTTGAAGGGAGATATGCCATATAACATCTCCCCTCACGTAGAATTCATCTATTACTACACTAGGTCCATTGCGAAACAAAGTTTTCGGGCCCTGATTTTAATCGGTTGCCTTGAAGTGAAAAACAGAAGACGAATCTTATACGGCTGTCGATGTCAACGCTTGAACCGTCTTGGGAAGACTCATATACCTTTGATTCGTGGATTGAGTCTTTTGTTGATCCCAGAGACGTGTCTTTGAAGGGAGATATGCCATTACCTTCATTTACACAAGTTTATCCTTGCAAGGATAGTTGAGTCCAGCAATGCATTAGTGGTTCAGCTTTACAATTGACGATGCCTAGAGCGGGTCGAAACTGTCTTGTGACATAGTTCGTAATGTCCTCGAATCTAGCTTTGGGGTCGTTCAAGTATTACGTAACGCAGTTTTTGAAGGTTTTTGACCCTCCTTCCCTCCATGTAACGCGCAGTAACGTTTTCCAGTACCCCACTCCCCCACCTTAAACGTTACGTAACACCCAAGTGACCATTTTTACCTAAAAGTCATATTTATGATGAGCTAAGTACTGGCAAGTGGATGAAATACCTTCGTTATTGTTTCAATCGCATTTGCGGTAATAATAAATAAAACAAAAGATTCCTAACTATACACAATGCGTATATTGTTTATTTCATTCATATTGTTATTTAACAATCATATATAAATGAACATTTACTTAAGTATGTTAAAATAGGCTCTACTAATACACTTTTACATACATTTAATTATGCCCTTTCCTCACGTACTTTTCTGGTTTCATCATCTATTTCAGCTTTATTTTCACTAATAAACTTTCAAAATGAAATTACATACTTATATAACTTTTAACTTTTGGCAATGCATTGCCAAAAGTTCTATTCTGAAAAAAATAAAATATGAAATCTTCCATGATTTAAATAATGTATAGTCAACGTAAAAAAAATTGTGCATATTTAAAGTTGACGGCACTCTCAGAAGCCAAAAAAACCAATACGTGGAAAGCCGAAATTGTCCACGTTGATTGTAGACTTGGCGGCTCGTATTGGATCATTTTTGTTTGTAAAACTTCAAGTAATTGGTTTTTGGTATAGTTATCTTGAAAATACAAATTGTTATCCATTGAAAAACTTTGTATTTCATCTTTCCTCGAATTTTTATACGGTACTTCAATGAGCTGTCGCGAATTATAGGAAGCGTTGTCAAGAACTATTAAACTATTTGCATCCAAATTTGGGATCAATGGGTTTTCAAACCATTCTTCGAAAATATTAGCTTCCATTTTCTTATGATCGTCAACATTGCAGTCCTCAAGTTTTTCTTCCACATAATTTAAAAAAATTCGTAACTTATCCTTTACTTCCTCCGCAATGCACAATGATTAATCGCGAGCCTTCGTTTGCAGGCATGTTAGGCTTATACATTCTCGAACCATCAGTCCACCCTTTTGTAACTGTGTCGTGAGTATCATACCAAGCATCGTCCAAATAGAAAATTTGCCGTTGTTCTTGTCTATATTTAGTTACTTGTTTCAACTATTTGTTACGCAATTCCAACATATTTTTTTTCATGTCGTTTTGTGTTGGTGTTGTCTCGAAAATTTGGTTGTTGCAATGTTTTTTATATTTTTTTCCATATGTACCTATCTAATATTTTTGATGGTTTTTAAAATAGTAATATTATCAACACGAAAAAACCACTTTTCGAGCTCTGAAGAAGAATTTAATTCAATTCGAAACGTCGGCAAAAAAACTTGTTTTTTAAAGAAAAATTCATCCCTGTTATCCAACCAACCTGTTTTTAAAAGAAACAATGTTACGTAACACATTGTTCGAACCCCCCTCCCGCCCTGTAACGCATCGTAACGTTTTACAAGTCCCCTCCTCCCCCCAAATTTCGTTACGTAATACTCGAACAACCTCTTTGTTATTACACATTAATATCCTTGCAGGGCGTCTTTCAAATATTTGAATTCCTTGGGGAGTTCAACTGGAGTGTTGATTACATCCTCCCCTCTTTTGAAGGTGGTTGACAATGTTTCGTGGTGTATTTCATCAGTTTGGACTTCCATTGTCTAATATAATATAAATTGATCTGATAACCCTGAAAAAAATCAAAAAGATTAACCGAAAATAACAATTTTATTAAACAAAAACTGAAATTACAAAGAAATAACATACAAGCTAGATTTCAAACCAAGTTATGTTACAACGTTTCGATTGTTAGTATCCACAATCGTCTTCGGGTGATAACTGCTTGTATGTTATTTCTTTGTAATTTCAGTTTTTGTTTAATAAAATTGTTATTTTCGGTTAATCTTTTTGATTTTTTTCAGGGTTATCAGATCAATTTATAATATATTAGACAATGGAAGTCCGAACTGATGAAATACATCCTCCCCTCGTTTGTGGCTGCTTCTGAAAATATCTGCAGCAGTTGTAAACAAAACGTCAAGCATAAAAACCTGCGGCAAACTGCCAACAAATACGATAAATAGCTTTGACACACTTATCTTCGGACGTGAAATATTTTTTGGTTTTATTTAGGTTATGAAGTTCACCAAAACTGCAAAAGATTTGGCCAAAAAACATCCTACAGCTTCGGAATGTCAACTGAGCGAATTTTTACAAGAAGAAACGAAAATGACAGGAGATGTCTGGATTCCTCCAGTTTGACTCATCTCATCGTAAGAGGGTTGAATACAACAGCTTGGAAATCTAAGGTTTTGTCAACCAAACAGGTCTTTCAGGGCTTTATGAAAGATTGATTGGTGCTACTCAAATAACGATTTTCGCAAACAGTGAATAAACTTTTGGTAATGTTGTTGGAGTAGATAAAAAAATGTAACTTTTTGGCGTCGAACTGGTTTCATTCCTCTGGAATTCATTGCCAATTTTTCAAACTGCCACTACATTGCCAAATTCTCTTGTGATTTATTTGTTTTATTGATTCATTTGCCTTAGAATAGATGGTTTTTTCTATCACATATGTCTGAGTAGACTTGTAAGTAGTATTGCTCTTGAATATATATCACAAATTGTACTGAGTCGACCAATTATTGATGGTTTGGGAACTTTTCCATCCATCTGCTTATTTAAAATTTAGGTAGAATCAAAATCGATGGTATTTTCTGAGATGTTTTTTCACAGTCTATACAGCATGTATTTAAAATCATTGTATCACATTTTTGTTGATGGGTAGGAAATATTTCTCTCCATTGTGAACAAAATTACTATAGAATAGTTAGCTAATCATTTTCAGTTAGTTGAAACTGGTCTAATATTTGAACACTTAGTATTTATTACAGCGACAAGTTATTTACGATATTTCAATTGGAATGTGTTTGATTTTTAGCATATTTCAAGTGTAATTCACAAAAACACCACATTGTACAACTAAAATATTTATTTATACAACGTGTTTAGCAAAACAATCCAGCTACATTTCAAAAATGGCACAAATCACTCATTCTTTCTGCGATTTCAACAAAATAACTACATTTAACAATTTCAAGAAAACTCCATAGCGAACCTAATCTATTAATGAAATTTAAAAGATAAAATAAATATGTTTTTGGTTGCTGCATTAGTTTCCTTTCATCTATACATATAATAAATAAATAAGATACATTAGAACTATCTAATAATGTTAGAACGGTTACGAGACGGAAAAATATAACATTCATTTACTAAAATAAGCCTGCAATCGATTACATTATTAACGAGTATGAAGCAGTTACTGCGTATATTGCGAATAGTCGATCCGATGGAACTTATCTACAGACTGAGTGTTCGGAATAAACGCAGTTGATAAGGTAACATGATAGTGGTAACTTATGTTGTTTACTCAACGAGCATGATTTTTGCAGAATGGGCGGCCTCCCTTCGCGAAGAAACTCTGTCCTTCGAGATTTTTCTTGCACATCTAAAAAAACACATTTTTGTCAGTAACAAAAAAACAATTCTTTGAAATATGTCAAAATTGTGAAGGTAACGAATTATAATTATATACGGAGTCAACTATTGATTTATACAAACCTAAAACTACAAAAAACAAATTGGAACACTCATATTTGATTTTCGAAATGGAAAAGTTATTAAAAAAATCTCAAGGATTTCGAATATTACATTTAATATTGGCAAATAATCGATTTTCTGAAGTTTTTTGAATAGTGACTTATCAAATTCAAATGTCAGCAAAATCAATGACAAAAAAAACCTAAAAATAGTCTTCTGTTATATATAATATCATAACTTATATTTTGAATATACCATACACTTTAAGTACAGACTTCTTCTGTTTTTTTTTTTATTATCATATAATCTGGTTTTTATATTCCACGGTGATAGGTTTTAAGTTCCAGGAAAATCAGTTAAATACCAATACCACCATTATTTTTTTCAATCACACAAAATTATTAGGTACTCTCCATAGTTTCGTTTTTGCCACAGTTCATCTTGATTCAGTTTGAAATAATTTGTTGTGAACCAAATTTGAGCTTTGTTACCAACATTTTGTGTTTTATGAAAATTATTTAAATCAAAAAAGATGATGTAAAGCACCCCGAAATTTAATATTTAGTTTTTGATGATGAGAATTGCAGTTATAAAAAAATCTCACCGTACAGTTGAAGCACTGACTGTGATAATTGTTGTTCAGTGCTTCTACCCAGCGGTCACCTGCTTCAACTGGAAATCCACAAGCGAAGCATTTGGTAGTGAAAAGTTCATTCCAATCTGTGAAAAAATAAAACATCCATACAATCTTGTGAATACTAACTCAATGCAATTTCTCGTCCTATGACAATTTGCCATCAGCATTTGAAAAGTGCAACTCAGGGTTCAGTATTGAGACCACTGTTAGATTTAGTATACACATAAAGCAGATTGCTGGTATAAAAATTTTCATTGGTAACGTTTAGAGTTGCAAATATGTAGTAGATTTTCAGTGGGAACTTACCAGCTTCACAATATGGACTGCCATCTTCCAAGAAGAAAGGAGAGTTTCCAAACAGTTTTCCACAGTATGTACAATTGAAGCATTCTGGATGAAAGTTTTTCCCGATGGCTTTCAAGCAGTCCTGAATATGAAGAGAAAATATAGCATTCATTTACAATTTATCTTAGGCGAATGATGACATATTACAATAACTCGCAATTGAGTAAACAATCACAAACTGCAACAGAAAAAAATTTAGGAGACTATACTATTTTTCTGAGGACAAACACACTTTTGTCTATTTTCCACGGTAGTTTTATATTTGTCGACTAGTTTCGGTCATTACACCATTTTCAAAACTGACTAAACTACATTCAAATCTGAGTATTTATACCTACTAACTCAATTTTTAGTAAACCCCCAGTAGATTTTATGATGGAGATAGGGAAAGTCTATAAAATTCCACATAGCTCATAGTTTACTTAAGATATAACAAAAATAATTTATTTCGTATTACGATTTATTATGACCCTGTATATGCCAGGAATATGAAACGAGTCTTCGTATTTTTGCTGGAATCGGCAGATTCACAAAGATTATTCATAGGATATCGTTTTTATTTTAAATTATTCATCTGTTTTTTATGACAGTTCATGTCACTTCGACATTTGGAAACTTCAGAAAGAAAACGTCTCTTCCTTCTTTTCTTGGTTTTGGACCAGACACGGAAAGAACATCGCATTTTGCGGATTTTAAAGAAGGTTTCAAAGTATTCCTGAATCGAAAATTGATTTATGCCAAAGAAGATAAATCAATTATCTACTGTCGTAGGATTTATGTAGGAATTACTCGAAACTTTCAAATTGAATTTTACCTTGTCGAAGAACTCGGACATCTCAGAAGGCAACACTCTGTCTCAGGTACGAACAAACATTTTGTGTTTTATTGATACGACCTTCTTGCTTGCAAGAAATTATGTTCACACATGTATGAATTTTAAGGCCTTCATTTCCCATTTGCCTGTTCGTTGCTTACTGATAATGCCCTCAAAATCTCCCCAAATTTGTGAATAAAAGCGGATGATCGTAAGCCTCATGTCTCAAAGAAGGTAATATAGTTCCTTTTATTGTTCATTTGGGTCTGAACGGGACGCATTAGCATCACAGGAATAGCACTGCCAAAACTGATGGCGCTACGGTGTTACTTACTTTAAGTAACTTTTCTTAGTTGAGTGTGTTGTAAATGAAATTTTGAAACACTTCCTTTGCCACCTTCAAACAACTGTAAACTGATGGTATGCATACTAGAGGGTAGAAAATTCATCAGTTGAATTAGACAACGAGAAAATCATCGTGAACAAAAAAATCCTGCATTTCAATATCAATTATTTTTTCTTGTGAATAAATCAAATTTTGTAGATTGGTTACGGAAGTTAGAATTGACAATCTTCGTAACAATTTTTCTTTACCTTCTATTATTGTTAAAAAAAATAACTTTCTTATTAGTCAGTGGGCTATCCGACAGGCGTCAATGCAGGAATCTTCATAGAAAATTTCCTGTATATGCAATTGGCAATACAACTGAAAGAATCGACCTTCAATGTTGGAACGGGCACACTTGCACACCGGTTTCGGGCTCATTCGCCACTCATCAGTGCAAGATAGTGGCCATCATCGAGCTAAAGTCGATGATATTCCATGATTGAAAATCGTCGTCGATGGTCATCGTCGTTTTGATCAGGTTGAAGCCTTGCTCCCTTACCCTTTAGGCTGGTTTTTGTCAGAGGGACAAACGGGTCATAACTGATTTTTGATGGTGGCATGAAAGTCCTCAGACATCCATACCGCCCTTCGCGGTGTACCCCTACCTGGCTGGGGTGAGATGGATGAAAATATTATTCATCTGTTAACGGAGGACATAGACGGCCTCATTCGACAGAGTGTCGGGGCCTTCTATATCGAGAGGGGTCGTCTACAGCGTAATCTATAGCTTCCCTGACTAACGATTGAAAATCGGAATTCTTTCAGAGTATTTCAATCCTCTTTCTAAGTTGGAGCGAACAATAAAATGTCACACTCCATCTAGTGGACGAGGTACTAACCAATTGCATATCCGAAATTTGCCCGATTCCTCTGAATAAGGAAGAACAACTTTCTTATTAGTCAGTGGGCTATGTTCGAAGACTGGCAGTAAACCTAAAGAAATGAACTTTAAACGTTCAAGCCAGTCTCGAATATACCTACACAGTAGGTTGAATGGACTGACGCCTATCAGAACAACTACTCCCCTGGCTAATATCACGAAGGGCGTTGGATTATATCCGACAGGCGTCAGTGCAGGAATCTTCACAGAAAATTTCCTGCATATGCAATTGGATTATCATTGACTTTAGGTCGATGATGGTCACTATCTTGCACTGATGAATTGAATTGATGAATTGAAGGTCGACGCTTTCAGTTATATTGATATTTGAAAGATATTTGAATTTTGAAAGATAATGTTTGAAATTTTCGAAGATTCTACCTGCATAGTTGATACTAACATATTTGTGTTCTGGTCTTGTGGAAATTGAAATAGTTCTTTCATTACCGTTTTTGTTGATATTTCATTATAATGTTGTTAACCAGATTAATTGGTATTTTGTTATCAACTGCTATTTGCTTAATGATTGCGATTTCACTTCGGAGGTTTGGATTAGAAAGGGGTATTGTGAAAGCTCTATGTATCATTCACCTAAATGCAGACACTTTCTATGAATTCGGTTTGAAAGGGGCAAAAAGTAATGTGCAATCTATGTGTTTTTATAGTATATCAGTGAACATGAAAATCCACGAAATGAACAACTCGTCAATCAAAAAGCATACTATTTCTATCTTCTCTATCAATCTGCAGTCACTTACCCCTTTGATTTTTCCGCTACACTTGGAACACTGCGGCGCGAGATACTGTTCGAAGCAGTACTCGCAGTATAGTTGTCCTTTTTCTTCAACGAAGCCAAGGTCTTGAAGAGGCCTTCTACAAGATGGCGTGGCGCAGATGAAGTGGTTTGGGCACCAGATTTTTCCTAATGCAGTTATGAACGGTCCTCTAAAAAATGTCGAAGATGATTGAAAACTGTGCTCTGAGCAATATGTGAACAGATCCTCTTTGGATTGACTGAAACGTATTCCGGAGAGTTGCATAATGAAATTGAATTGATTGTACCAAATGTCGTTTTTCTTTCATAACTACAATATTTGTACAGAAGTGTGGTAGTTGCAATACCGATTGGGGTGCAATAAATTTTCTTTGGAAGAGGTAGTTTCCTGTATATGGACAGCAGGAATCAATTCCACTCTTTCATGAAGAAAATTAAGGATGAATAGTGACTCCTCAATGAAGATAAGTTCAGTTTTTGAACTGAATATTGCATATTCTTATTCCTCTGAAGCACGATCTACTCTGAGGCCCTTATTATTTTAGGAATAAAAATATCTATCTCATTATAAAAAGATGTTTCAACCTATTAAAGGAAATCAAATCGAATCGTTGAAATGATTCAACTATCTACAGTTATGAAGAGAAGAGTTTGGAGTGGATAACTAACTTAATCCTTGTTCAAATGATGAAATAGATAAGATAGATACTAACCTAATATAATGCACTTCTGATGCACTGTTCGGAAAATTTGGTGCAGTAATGAATATTACTGGATGAATTGATGGATGTAGCCGTTACTACGTGATAGGAGATCATAATGAAGAAAAGAGAATGAAACTTTCTATGTTTTTTACCACTTTTATTTGTAACTAACGTTACTGCAGTTTCGTCATATAAGGACATTTTCATGCATTAAACTAACATTAGCCCTTATATAGCACAGCTACTGGGGTGCTATATAAGGGCTAATGTAATCAACCATTGTTAGTTTACTGTATAAGTTTTAAAATGTCCTTATAGGACGAAACTGCAGTAACGTTAGTTACAAATAAAAGTGGTAAAAAAATAGAAAGTTTCAATTCTCTTTTCTTCAATATTACTGGAGTTCAATCCCAACACCAAACCGTTATTTTTTTTAACATCTTAACACGTGTTTCAATCACCAAGTGATCATCTTCAAGAGGAATCTTCCTCTTTTCAACTCCTCGACACGTGTTTCAATCACCAAGTGATCAACCTCAAGAGGAATATTCCTCTTGAAGATGATCACTTGATGGTTGAAATACGTGTTGAGGTGTTAAAAATAAAGGTTCGGTGTTGGGATGGAACTTCAGTGATATTTACTATAATATTCTGGAGGGAAATTGAAACAGTTGGAAGTATGACAACCTGAGGAAGAGAAGCAAGTTTATGGTGGAAATCTTACAGAAATTTGATTCAGTTGATTTAAAAACTAAATTGGTCGAAGATTAATGAAAGAGCATTGTGATCTATTGCTATCGTGAATCAGAAACCAGAAGAAAAAATATTCAGATACAAAATCTACCTGAAGTGAAGCTTGGAAGATAGGTAGATCTATGGAATATGTAAGTCAGACACTGAAATGGAAATTATTTGCACACGAAATCTTCATTACGCTTTGAATGTAGATTCATTTCGAGAAAAATATGATTTAGCTGAATACTGGAGAGAACTTTCAATGGGGAATGTTCCTCCTGACGAAAATCAAGTAGTTTTCATAAAAGAGCTCTAAAACAACGCATTTCAAACTTATCATTTCAACATTTTTCTTTGAAAAATTATTTAAATACTGAAAAAAGTGGAATGAAATAATTCATTCAACATTTAAAGAGATTCGTTTCTATTTCACCATTTGGCAACATCGGTTATAGCTGATAAAGGAAAATTAATCTGTTATCTGTATGAGACAAACAAATATGACATATTTCAGAGGCGTGCTGTTCTGTTTACTTATGTTCCGAGTTCCGAGATATTCTGTGACATATGACATTTTGTGCACCTAACCTATCTTCCTCTATATAAATAAATAAAACAATCACAAACAATCACAACAAAAAAATCACTTTCAAACAAACAAAACAATTGTTGTTTATGTGGCTTGTGGAGGTGGTATTGAACTATAATTTATATTATGCCTTAATTCTTGATTTATAAAGATAATTTTCCTTTCTTAAAGTATAATATTTAGGAACGTATAAATTATTTCAACTTGATATAGGCGCTGTTGCCAATATGTGAATTAGAAACAAATCCCTTTAAAAATTAAAACCCAACATTTGAAACATCAATTTGAATACTTTTCTAAGTGAATTTGAAAAACTCATGAAATAAATTCAACTTTATTTTGTTCAAACTTGCATTTGCTGTAATAACGCAAATTGAGGAACATTTCCCATTGTTATTGGACGTCACCTCATTTTCACTTGTGAGTGAGTTGTTGTTCACTTGTGAGTGAGTTGAGTCTAGAAAAAAACACCTACTGATACAGAACTTGAATTAGTCTACTTGATTTGCCCAAAGAAAACAAAATGAAATTTTTATGGTTGAAAACGTCGCCTAATATCTTATTTATAATAACTCTCTGACGTACTAAACCAAACATTTACTAAACACTACCTATTCAGAGGATTCCTCAACAAAATATAGCTGTACTCTAAAACCTCAGTTGCAATTTGTCATGTTTTATGAAATTGTGTGGAACTGAAGTGAAACAGAGTTATAAAACGGCAATCAATGAAACTATACAATCTAGTGCAGGACACAATATTGTGAAAATGAGTGCTATGAAATAGAGAAAAAACGCAATACGCAAACGGCTACAGTGTTCTCAGTCAGAAGGCCTAAAAAAAAATGCTAGGTACAATTCATGGTACTGCTGTGAACACCGGCAATTCAGTAAATCCACTGAGGAAAATAGTAAAAAAACACAGAAATTTATGTTCTTCGGCAAATCCTAAAATTCACTATCAATGTTTACCTAGCTATCTCAGTGTTACACACGCAACAAACAGGCACATCAGCCGGGTTATTTTTAAAATCAGCAGCATCCTGGGTTACGCTGTTGTTAATATACACCCTGGTGGCGCCCTCTGCCTCTTTCTCGTTCAGTTTGTTGGTAAAGGTAAGGTGATCGGGCAAAGGCAAGCTTTCTGTACTGGAATGCTTGGAGGCATGGTAGTCATTGATGGGAATGAAGAGCTCGGAAGTAACTTTCTTATTTCCGTTGGTAACAGTAGTCTCGACGTTGTTCACGATGTAGTTCAATCTAGGGCTCTGAGTATCGGACATGCTGACCTTCTTCAGCTTAGGGGTCAAATTTCGGATATCCGCGAAGACCTTGTCCCTGGCGGACTGCAAGTTCTTTCCGCTCGAGGAGGAGTGGGAGGAGTAATCCGATTTCGGACTGGACCCGATGGAGTCTAGTTGGGGAGAGGTGCTCCGGACGGGGATGGTTATATTGATTTGGCTGAAGACGGGAACAGGAGGAGGAGGCGGAGGATATTTGGGATATTGCAAACTGATCTCGTCCAGTTCCAGAGGATTTTCGTTTTCGCTAGCGTGACACAGCTCACTCGCATGCTCTAAAATACGACAATGAAAAATAACAAACATGCATTACTAAAATATATACGATGGATGTCCGTTAGGAAGCAAAGTTGTCGAAAAATATTTTTTAACTAAATCTTAGATGTCGATGCAGCTCATATTTAAAAAGGAATGTTAACGGGTAATGTAGTATGGTGGTATGTTTCCTGATCAAACATCATAATAATGATTACAAATTTTTGCAATATAGACTTCATTTTCAATACTCGTTTCACTACCACAGTAGTTCTTTCTATTGGACTGGTACTCCACACTAATTTATAATGCAATTCGACTAATCCTAGGGAATTTTTTATTTAAACGAATTTTACAGTGGTGAGAGATTAACTTTTTGTTGGTCGGTCAACAGGAAATTTGTTTGTTTATGTTAATTGATTTCCAGAGACTCCAGCAGGTTCAATTTTTGTCCATTATTTCGTCGTAGTTTATGCCAAAACCAGTTATTTTCCAACATATGGCATGCATAGAATGAATTGGTTTTCTTTAATTCGAAACTTCTTTTGTGTTCAGAGATTCTTGTCTTGAAATTTCTAGATCTCCTTCCAATATAAATTTTTGGGTACGAGCCACATTTCAGCTTGCAGAAACCCGATTTATCGTTGTAGGATTTGTTGTTTTTTATATGTCTTCCAGAGGTATTATAATGTTCTGTTCAGTTAGTTTACTTGTCTTTTCTGATACCTTTTCTGTATATATTAATTTCAAAATGAATTAACATTTCGGGGTATTTTGGAATCGTACTACTGAATGATACTAATTTTATCATATATTCATTTCTTAGGAATCCTCGTGAAGAATCTCATAACTGTCCACAGGAAATTATAACAGAGCCTTTGATAGCTCCACAGGACATCCTAGATTACAGATATCTACCTCATCCTGAGGATAACGCCAGCCTCTTCCTGTAATACGATTTAATAGTTTCTAGATGAGATCCGAATATTATTCTCATCCTGTTTTCGAGATATCCCGAAATTGCAAAAAGACGAAATTGCAAAAAGACACACATATTACATATCACAAATTTTTCTTGGAAAACGAGTTTCAAATTTCAAACCATCGAGCAATTCAGAATAAATTTGATAAAGTTTAGTCTGATCAATTATTAGGTTGTTCCAAAAGTTTGCCGTTTTTGAGAGTCTACTTTGAACTATGATATATCAGTGAATACTTATTCAATTTGATCGAAGTAAGCCCCATTTGAATCAGTGCTCTTTTGCCAACGTAACACAAATCGAGTAATTCCGTCAGCATGAAAATTGGGTGCTCGGGATCCGCTGAAGTGGACGAAGGCCGTTCTTGTCATGTCTTGATTGGCGAGAGTTTAACCGGTGAGAAAGTTATAGAAGAGATGGCAGTCAGTTGGCAAGAGGTCTGAGGAGTAGGCGGGTGAAACAGAACTTTAACACTCAATTCGTTTAACTTTTGGACGCTGATTTGTGATACGTTCTGACGGGAGTTGTCGTAAAGAGTTTGATTCTGTTTTCTAGTTTATCTATTGTCTTTTGGGTGTATCCGTTTTCGTTCGCTATTTGGTATAAGAACGGAAAATCATTTACCATATACCATTTACATTATCCGAACCACCCCGGCCTGGATACCGGCGTGAATAAAGTGGGCCCCTCATTCTTCACTTTCGAAAAGACTCTCGTACATTTTAATTATCAAGACAATGGACTAACACACAACACAAAACGGAGCCCCACGGTAGCACATGGCATCCATGTACCTTCTTTGTGGGCGGACGTTATCAGCACATCAGTACACTACCACGGTCACCACGGAACTCTCCAGGATCGGATCTGATCTGTTGACCAGTGCCAGCTGCTGCTAACGTAATTTTCAGTAGATTTCGTCGATTCCCTCATAATAGGACTCTGTGATGATTTGTGATGATTTGGCCCGGTTGCAGACAGTTATAGTGAATCACACCAACCATCAGTATACACAATGACACACCATTCATCAGTATACAGTGCTTTTCAGATAAAAGTATCCACCTTTAATAACTTTTGTAATACTGGTATTTAGGAAAAATCCAAAAACACGTCAATTTATGTTGGAAGGGACAAGCATTATGGCTTATTTAAACTTACTGGAAAAGCCACCCCCTCACCCCTAGCATCATCCCCCTTTTTTTTTAAAATTACTCCTCATATTTTTTATGTAAAATTTGGATACTCAACTTTGAGCTGATTTCAAAAATGTATAATACTTGTAGGTTAAAGTGGTTAGTTTATGAGATAAACAATTTTTCTTTTAATAGCACAAATTTTACTTATTTTTTACTTTCACCTTATTTGCCTGTACTAAAATGGGTTGTACAACAGTTCAAACTCTTTAATCTGTTTAACTGTGCTATTTATTCTACTTCAAAAATCCAAACAACAAAAAACTCTACTTTTTATTAAAGTTTGACATTGTCAACTAGAATTTGTAGTCACTATTGATAGTGTACTTTGATACATTATTTATTTTGTTTCGCTGAAATGGTTTACTCTTTGCAAGAAAGAATTGAAATTGTAGGTTTATACTACCAAAATAATAATTGTGCAAGAGCTGCTGCTAGAATATTTAACGAATTACATGACGGAAGACATGCAACTCATAAGTATGTAATTCAACTGATGGAGAAATTTACCACAACAGGGTCTGTTTGCAATAAAGTGCATAAGCGAGAGGGACTCGTAAATAACGAAGCAATCCAAGTGGCAATTTTAGGGCAAGTCAGCTTAGAGGCTCAACAACCCCAATCGTTGTCAACAATAAGTAGAGCGATCGGTGTTTCATCTTCTACAGTTTTCCGAGTTCTACATAAATTCAAGTACCACCCATACAAAGTTAAGTTGGTGCACGAGTTGAATGAAGATGATTTTGATCGTCGTCTAGAGTTTTGCGANTTCTGTTTAATTTGTTGATTTTGTCTTTAGAATTTACTAAAAAGTTACTTAAGTTGTTTTGAGATTTAAAGGAAATTTTTGTACCAGGTATGGTATTTTCTATAAATTTGAAAATAACAGTACACATATTTTGATCAAAATAAGGTAAGGAAAAATATTTCACAGAAGGTGAATTAACCAAGGTGGTAGAGTTGAAGGCCAATTTCTATCTGATCTGAGTTTAAATTTACTAATTATTAAAGAATACTAATAATTGAAGAATTTCAAAAATTATACACTTTAATACAAAAAACCTCTTCGATTCATTAATTCAAATAAGTGTATTCAGCTATTCCAAATCTTTTTATTCATACTTTTTTGCAAACTAGAAGTCGTTGCGTATGATGTTCGATTTCTATCCGGTGTCGAACGAATTCCATCCATAATGTGAGTTAGTCTGCGAGTATCAAGTTCATTCAGCTCATTCATTTGTATCGGAATGGTTTCCATACCCTACCAGAAATTGTCAAGTGTCTCTTCTCAAACTTTCGATACAAACCTGAAGACGTATCTACATGATAGCTCTGCGGCTTTTATGTGAGCCTGTTGCTGAAAGGGTTCCAACTTGGCGATATCGTTGTGATCATCTCGTTCAGTGTCGGAAAATAAACCAAGTTCATCAGCCGCTAAAAAGATATGCTTCAATTCCTGCTCTCTTATCATCGTGGACTATGCAGAAAAGAGGATCCGAACAACTAACGACTTTACAGACTCCATCCAGAATCATTCTGTTATGTAGACACTCCAAACTTGAAAGTCCATGGCGTTTCTCTTGTCGAGGGAAGTACTTTTTTTCTAAGACAAAACACAAGCACTACAGGAAAATCCTTAAGGCGCTGGAGGTTGAATTCATTTGGAACAACGTTCTCAGGAAGTTTATTCCACATAAACGCAGTTCTCCAACTAAAAAAGTTCTCAAAAAGTGAAGTTTGAGGTGTACTGAGTTGAACCTCGAAACGATGAGGAGCCACAGTCTGTCGCATATTTCTGATATGTACCGCTCTTGGTGTAATCGAATATGCCAAGTCATTTGAACACCATCCGTGAGTGTCTATATAAAAGTGACAAATATCTACCTTTTCTGAGTATCAAGGTTGCAAGTGATGTTCGTATCTTCAATCAGGCGGATAACTCTTTTCTGGATGGAATGCAGCAGCTTCAGGGTATGCTTAGCGGCGGAGCTCCATACACAACAACAATACTCCAAAGAAGGTCTGATCTGAGCTTCATGAAGCATCAAAAGTTGATGAGGTGTGTACAGTTTTCAGGTTCGGAACAGTGTTCCAAGCTTTTGAGAAGCAGCCTTTGCAATTTCAGTGACATGATTGTGCCAAGGCATATTGGTGTCCATTTTAACCCCCCAACAGACTTATCGGAGCAGAAAGCGGAATTGTCTGTCTTGACATTATTATATCCCGTTCGAAGACTTTTATTTTTTTAGAGAAAACCGATGCGTGGGTTTTCGTGGCATTGAATTAAACCTGGCTGCTTTCATCCCAATTCGAAGTCACCTCCAGATCCTCATTAAGATATGCAACCTCCTGCCGTAAAAATGTGCCTCCGTAGCCGATGTCCTGGAATCCAAATGGAATGACTAGACAAGTTATGTTGTCCGCAACTCCTGTAGAAATGCATCATTTTTTTGGGTCGTTACGTAAACACGATATAGCTCTTTCTGAATCCATTTCACTACTCCAATTGAGTTGAATAAAATCGGAAAAGCGAGCATATTTGTAGCAGCAACTTTGTGTTTATCCGACAGTTCTGATGACCAGTTCCTGCTGATACTTGCCGCGAAGTTGCCGCGGCAAGTATCAGCACCTCGAGGTAAGTATACGTCTCTCCGGCATCCAGATGACGCAATATGCTTCTGTTTACGAGTTGGACATCCATTTCGTATTATTATCATTGTCATATTTTCATCTCATCGACGGTATTGGGCTTGACCACGAATACCTTGTTAAAATCAAGTGTCGAAGTAGATTTTGCAAATCAACTGTTTTTTTTGTTTTATGCCTGAAAAGCTTGGCAAGTTATAATAGTGAATCAAAATAGTCAATTTGTATTGAATAAGACTCTTTTCTGTGGAGTCTTACTGGCAACTGTGTGAACTTACTGTCATTTTTCACCTTCCGAAATATGGAAAAAAACTTGTAATGGAGAACTAGAACTTTATACAGGTGTGGAAGGACAAACTTTTAGTTCATTTCTTGAGCTTTTGTAAATGTCAAAAAATCACTTTATTAAAAACCAGCCACACAAACCACAAAAATAAAGTCAAATAACAGTGAGCGCAGGTGCAGAAAGTCGTTTATTCCACATAAAAGAAAATGAGTGCTGGAGATCCAAATTTCGAAACTATGGTTAACCGGAATAGGCAGCCGCTGCCTTCCTTACTCATCTCTTTGCTACCATTATAGACATTTCATCGATAAAATCGTGTTGAAAAAGAGTAAGTGAGTTATATCAATATCTACAACATTTTTTATCCAGAGACTTCTAAATGTGAGAAACCCAACAGAATAATATTTCATAAAAATATTGAATTCAACAAAAAACTCAAGAAGAAAAAAATTCATAGCCTCCTCTTAATCTTCAATAAACAGTATTTTTATCAATCATCTTTTTGACATCTCAACCCTGTCCCCACAAATCATACAGTCACGACTCCAAAGCAATTTGGTCTCCATCACTTCCCATTTCCCTATCATCTGCTGAATTGTTAGTAAAGCTGCTCTCCACAAACACATCAGTGGAAACACCCATGTCTACCTTATCTGCATGTTACAATGCCCGCACAGAGGAATTCTAGTCCCGGCTAGAGCAGCAGCGTTCAAGACGCCTCTGCCACGTTTTGGGGCAACACTGACCCCTCCTGTTTGACGACCGCTGCCTGCACCTGTATCGGATTGGGAAACAGAGGGAGAAATTACATTTTGACTGGGTTTCTTTGAGGAACTAGGAGGCACTACGTGCTTGACGGGAGATATCGTGGAGGGGGCATAGACATGCTTTATAGAAGCAGAAGCGTCAGTAGCAGCTCTACCTTGAGAGTTTGAAATTATTGAGGATTTGGCGCTAGTTTCTTCACGAGCTTGCCCTGTAACTTTTTTGCAGGAGTAGGAAAGTTTGTGTGGGTCTGTCATGTGGCCTTTGACTGTAGAGGCTTCAATAGTAGTATCCTTCACTCCACAGAAGGGAAGCTTCTTCGTAGTGGTGACGTTCTTTTCGATTTGAATGTTAGTCTCCTTCTGCGACCGCTCAAACTCTTCAGTTACTACCTTCTTGCGCTGCACTTGTGTGCGACCGTCCGCAGATCTCTCCAAGCTCTCACTCTGGGACTTTCTCAGCTGCTCCATGTGGGCTTGTCGAATCTGTTCCTCTACAGCTGTAGACATCACAGTGTCCTGACTTTGGGATGTGTACTTTTGAGCTTTGTGAGACTCAGAAACGTCCATCTTCTTCGAATCGTATACCTCTTGCTTGCAGATCAATCCTCGCTGCTGTTCGACAGGGTAACTTTGAGTCTGCACTCTCGACGTGTACATCTGCGTTGGCTGGCTCCTGTATAAATTTGCTCCATGAGCCTCAATCATTTCTTGCTTGGTCATATGTTCAGGGATGTACGTCGTCAAGCTATCACGTGCCTGGTCTACTTTTGAATCGTGTGGGTTAGGCAGAGGCTTGTGAGACTGTAGAGGATTAGGTGGCGGACCAGGCGCAGGAGAGACAGGCCTCACGTTACCAAGAGTAGTGGGAGAGGGACTAACTTCCCTACCTCTTCCTGGACAGGGACTGGGTGAGCGCGAGACTGCTGGACTTTTAGGGTCGAAAAGGGTAGCTGAAAGGGGGCGCATAGGTTGAGCTACTAAGTTTGCCTGGTAGTAGGGCAACACGGGAGGAGGTTTATTGATTATACTCGGAGTTATCGACCCCGGCCGTGGTGAAAAAGTCTGGCTGGGTGGTCTCTCTTCTGGGATTGGTTTGAACATTTGCACAGCTGGCTGTACCTCACTGACGGTTTCTATTTTGATCATAGGTTTGGCCATCTCTTGCTGCTGCTGAGCGATGATCTTTTGCTGCTCTAGTCGTACCTGTGCTTGCTCCATCTTTTCCATTCGATGCAGCTGCGCTTCAGCTTCAGCGGACAGTTCCACTTGGTATTGTGGTAAGTATTGAGGTTTGTGCAGTGTCACCGGAGGCTGCGTTTTTTTGACTACTATCTCCTCTGCTTGCTTGGCTGCCTGGATTTCTTTTTTCGTCTCTTTCTCTTTAGTCTGCTCATGTTTTTTCGTCTTTTGCTGTCGTTTATGTTCAGATTCCGTGATGGTTTCCTTCTGGACATATCCAGGCTTACTCTCAATGGTTTTTACACTGGGAGTTTTGGGGATTGGTGACATAACTGGAGGAGTAGTGTTAACCGAGACCGAGAATTGTGAGTGTTCAGACTTGTTCTGGAACGAGCACGAGAAGCCCTGAAACAGCGGAGGAAATTGTTGAGGAGGCTGTCCGTTATCCACGACAATTTGAGTAACTTCCGGATTGTGGATTGTTTCCCTTTGGACTGTCTTCACTTTACTGGTATCAGACTCTTCCGACTGTTCTTCGCAAGCAGATTCCTGCGTTCTCTGATACAAGATGGCAGGAGAGTAGTAACTAGGAGGTTTGGGGTCTTTTTTGTTCACCTGGAAGGATTCAGGCAGGACATCGGGTTTTGTGGGCCTGTTCAACTGAGAGCGATCGATATTTACCTCAGATTTGGTCTCAGATTTGTTTTTTACGCCCACACTTTCTGTTACTAGAGGTGAGTATGGTCTATCGGGAGCTGTAGTAAGAGCTGCCAGCATAGAGAGCTTCTCCTGAGGTTTTGGCAGCTCTTCGAAGTATTTTTCGCTAGAATCTTTCTTCTTCTTTCGAGATGCTGGAACTATGGTGTCTTTAGGAGAGTCTGGAACTGTTTGGAGCGCTCTCACGAACTGGCTTTTTGGACGTTCTTGCTTGGGTTTGAGTTCTTCTTCTCTAACTGGTAGGACTGGTCGCTCAGGTGGCAAATACGGCACAGTTTCCTCTGGAAGTGGCACCGGTTCTTCTGTGACCGTTGCAGGGTGAAATGGCTGAGAAGGAGCAATTGATAACGCTGAAGCTAAGGGGGTATGCGAGAATTTGGTAGGAATCTGAGCGAAAGTGTCTTCATCTGGAGCTGTCGTCCGAATGGCTTGGGTAAGAACAGATTCCCACTTTTGAGGTACAGCGTTCTCGACTCGACTAGGTTTAACTTCCAGTGTATTTGGGCTATACTGTGTAGGCCTCTTCAGCTCGCAACTTTCTCTCCCGGAATAAACTGTATTTTCAAAACGCTGAACCGAGGAGAAATCTTCAGAACTCGCCACTGATGATTCATACTGGTTTTGCTCCGTTCTAGTCTCTGTAAATGAGGGTATATCTTTATCGAGAGGAGGAGGCTGCCTCGTTTTGACAATATCTTCAACAAGTTTTTGAGTATCCAATGTTTCCGTTATCGTCTCTCTGCACTCAGTTGTGCTCCTGCGCCCGCTGGAGTATTCGTAGGGGTACTTTGTGAGAAACTGCGCCATTGCGTTGATTTCCTGCACCTCCAAGCAGTTTTCTGAGCAATCGATTCTCAGCTCCGACTCCTTCTCGATTTTTTTGTTGAGGATGCTGTGTTCAACTTGAGAGGGTGGAGGATAGAATATCGGACAAGCAGTTGGAAGGTCTTGGGATTCCTGAGGAGGGGGCCAAACAACGTTATCAACAGCGCGAGCTTCAGGGTGAACATCGAACACAAGTGAGACAAACGAAGGAATAAAACAAAGGCGGTGCAGGAATGAAAAATAATTAGTACAGAAGCGATAACTTAGGGCTACTACAAAATAGTATAACTATGCTGCGTTTTAGTTACGGTTCCATTTGAAGATCCGCGAAAATTCAAGTTGATATTTATCATATTTTGGAAAGGTCGAAAATGGTTCAGTTTGAGAGAATTGGCACAACTCTATGGGATGATACAGAAATGTCCTATTCACAAATTAATTTAATTTCTGAAGCATCCCTTGTTTGTTGTGCTCGTCAAGTAATTTATATAGTTTTGAAAATTTAGTATTTACAAGCGGTTAGCGACTGAGGAAAAGTGCTTCATTCAAGGACTAAGGAGAAAGGTCGTGGCCTGGAATTGAAAGAGTTTTCTGCAAAAGAAGGTTGTATTATTAAAGGAAATGAAAGTATTGAGTGTGGTTGTCATAGTTATACTATTTTATCTTATCTAATCGTTCCAGTGAACTAAGTCTTTGATAATGGTTTGAATAGATCACTGGTGACTAACTACAAAGCAGTAGGCCTAGTGCTTGAGAACTCAGCCAAACTTCAAATATACCTTTGAAGAGGCCACCAGCTGGTTTGACAGAAGAGGAGTATCGTCCTAGGAACAAAATTGTAGTATTTGAGACAGGGGTGTGGATTTCAGAGGAACTCTTTTTATTATTGGGTGAAGGGTGTGATTTTACAACAACAAAAAATATTTACTGATATACTTCGTAACAGTTTCCGATTCCAAGTCCACATTCATTCAGTAGAAAGTACATTTATTTTGAAGACCAATTTTCCGTAGATTACCATGGAAAAATATATAAACGTTGACAGTTTTACATTTTCTGAATCCCAACAATTTTTTCGAAGTGAAATTTGAAAAAATGCAAATTTTTCAAAAAAAAATCAACCTTTTTCTTTCTCAGAAGATAAACATTGAAGATTAGGATATCAATCTATCAACTACTTGATATATCTATTACTAGTTTCCTTGTACCTGGTATTTGCAGGAAAAATAGAAAACCAATAGTTTTTCACCGAAAAATCAATTTCCCCTGAAATAATTTTTTGAATTAGATATAGTTTTAGTATTTTGACACATTTTAAATTTTCGTTACATGTACAGAGTGTCCCATTAGTGTAAGGAAGTACAGTAACTTGCCTATAATGAGGGGTATGATAAACTGTTTCAGATACAAGTTATATGGTTTACTTTGTTGATTTTTCAAAAATATTTCGAAATATACAGAGTGTTCCTTCAAAGTGGAGTAATACAAATAATAATTTTTTTAAGTGAACCCGAATATCATAAACTTGATTTTTTCAAATGACACACCCAGTATGTTATGTCACCATTTTTTGGAACTATTTCATTCCTACAAATTTGAATACGATAAAATAGTCTCTAGAAGTGTCAGTTTCTGAAAAAAATTACAATTCAGTTCTCAATTTGTCAAAAATTGTTTTTCTTTTTCCGTATAGGCCAGCTAGGATTTTGACACTTAGTTACTGTTACTAAAATTTAAAATAATTGTAATGTCAAACTTAAAACTGAAAATCGGTGAGTAAAAGTCTGCTAGTCTTGTGTGTTCAAAGCCTAGCGACTGCAGAATCTTTTTTCTGAGAGAAAGTGATTGAAACGATACGTTGAAACGTAAGACCTCGTTAATCCTTGGCACGCACAAGATCTGACTTCTGAGGGCTTCTCGTTCATAAGGGGACGACAGCTGATAAACGGAAATAGCTTTTTATAATTTTTCAATTCATGAGAGTGAATAATTGAAACAATAACAAAAAAATATCAGAAATTTAAACAACTGCTCAAAATGACTACCGGGTACTTCCAAACGATAATGTATTCGGTTTATGAATTTGCCTCAACATGCTGACTGGAATATTTTGGAATACGTCTTCAATTCTATTTTTCATATCCTCTTTTGCAGATGGGGGCGTTCTATGAACTTCATCTTCAACGTAGACCCACATAATCTGGTGAGTGAGGTGGCCACTAGAAAGGGCCTCTTCTACCGATGTATTCTCTCTCCTGATAAATGATAACAGGTGCTCCATCGTGTGAATATCACAATTTTCGTTTGATTTGAATGGGTAAATGATTAGGTACTCAATTGTAGTAACGGGTTTCCCAAAAAATCAAGGTAAATTGAGCCATTAACTCTTCCCTCAAAGAACGATGAAATTTCAAATTATGCCGCCTCATATATTTAGGGACCACTTTGTCTGACTGGTGGTTCGAAAGAAATGGGGGTTATCTGTTGAATAATAATGGAAATTATTACAAACTCTTATGAAATGTTGCTTCATCGGAAAATAAAACATAATTAGAATCTCTGTTTTGTAGCAACTAAGTCTATTTACACAGTTACTCTTTTCTCAAAATCATCATCTAATAACTCTTGATGTTATTGAACACGGTACAGATGAAACTTATCCTTTTTTCAAATTCTTTGTGTGACAGCCCGGCTAATGTCAGTTTGTATCTCTGTGCGAGATATGAGGATCTTTTGTGACTTTCAAGAAGACAGCCGTTTCAGTTTCTCCAATTAATGCAGCTTCGAGTAAATCGAAGAAGCAAATTTGTCAATGCTTCTTATCTGGGTTGTTGGCGGGTTGCCTGTCCTTGTTAATCTTCCACTGCCTGAACCACTGTGCATGCTGTTCTTGGTGCATTGGCTTGGGATGTGGGGGTTGAGCAAACCACCCATCGGATGCCTGCTTCCATGTAGCCTCACTGGATACGGGAATGACAGAATCACTTGTGGTTCTGTTATTCCCTAAATGAATGGCATCCCAACGATGGCTAAGGTGTGTATATCCGTGCCGATAGGATGAATGAAACTGAGCCTACCATCTGTGTCAACGGAACCTGCGAGATACTGGGGGCCTTCTCGTCGTAGCATCGCCTTGTCATGGTAATGCGGGGCTCTGCCGTGATTGACCTTCTTTCCCTAGCTACTCATGGGACTTTCATGGACAGAGTAAACTTAAAAATCCTTTCTGACGCTGAGTCTATAGAAGAGATGGATGTTGAGCTTACGATTCCAACTAACCTCCCTGTAAATTTAGTTCAGGGGCGAGTCTATAGAGGAGATAAATGTCGAGTTTATGACTCCAACCGACCTCCCTGTGAATTTAGTTCAGGAGCGAGTCTACAGAGGAGATGGATGTCGAGTTTACGACTCCAACTGATCTTCCTGTAAATTTAGTTCAGGAGCGAGAGCTTCCCAACTCCCCAACTCCTGATCCAATGAATGAACTTAAAAAAAAGGTTTGGTGGTGCAGCCAGGAAACAACTGAGTCGTCTCCTCAAGAGCGGGGTACCTTATTAAACCACCTTGCACTAAATTCTCGAGCGGCGTTACGCAGAATCTGTTTCAGGGAGAGGAACAAACCCCCCCATGAGCAGGTTAAAAAACGTTTGCTCTCAAATGATGATTCAGCAAAACCAGAGGCAAAAAAGCCCTGCACGGTTGAATCTAAGGCATCGTCAGGTGTAGCTGACGTGCAAAAACCCTCATATGGGAAGGTTGTCGCGGGTATCAAGGTGGGAATCTTGCACCTTGACTATCCGACTACCTCTTTAACGATGAAACAGCAGAGCATATACTTTGTGCCTGCCCCCTGGGGACCGAATCAGGTTTTTAGAGTTCGGCAGAGTCGTACTTTTACCATCTGACCTGAAAGACCACATACCATACAAACTAATCGGCTTCGTTAAGAAGCTGGGTTTATTTGGTCGAGTGTGAGTAGGTGTGAGCCCCAATAAACCCTTGCGGGTTGAGGTGGAATAGACTCACTCACTCTGGACCTAACCTAACATAACTTATCCGTGTTGTTGCCTGTCTGGATATCGTTCATTGAAATTCAGGTCGCTAATGAACAGTTTTTATCACTTGCCCCCAGTACAAAAATCATATGGGTCAATTCTTCGGTGGAGAAATTCATTTCAAATGCTATTATCTCATTATGAAGCGATTATTTTAGCACTGTATAATGAAGTAAGCGTTTTTTACCGAGCATAACCTATGGAAAACTGTTAGTTCTTGAACTTTGTAAATATTAAAGTGATAAACATGTAGTTTCAGTCGAGATAAAATGATATTGCAAATTTCACAAAATATGTCAATTTTGGGAGCTAAGTCATATCAACAAAAATTGTAAGAATAAAGTAGTTCTTCAAAATAGTAGAATAACATATTGGGTGTTTCATTTGAAAAAATCAAGTTTTTGATATTTGAAGTTGCCCCTGTATAAAAATCTCCTGTTTGAGAAATGTAATTTTCAGTCCATATCGACATTTTATCCCAGTCTTGGTATTGCATGTATCAAATATTTCTGCTTGAATTCTATTCATAAATTTTTTATGGCATTTACGGTTGTCTGTTTTTCCGAAGATTTTGTTTCTTTCGGCAATAACTTGACAACGCCGCAAAATTTCTGAAAAAAAGGAAATCCCTCTTTGTGTAAAATATTTTTCTCAGTTCAATGGTGAATGCCCCGCTTCAAAGAAACACTCTGTATATTTCAAAATATTTGTACAATGAGCAACAAAGTAAACCATAAACTTTCAGCTCGAAAACTTATCAAACTCCTCATTATAGACTAGATACTGTACTTCCTCACACTAATAGGCTGCCTTGTAGATATTCATAAAGGAATAGCAATATAGAATGTTTGAAGATAACAATATAATTTTTCATAATTATCAAAATAATCAATATTCCAACCGATTTCACCATTTACTTTGCTAGGACCTTTTTGGGATTCCAAGAATGTATCAACTTTCAAGCTGCTCTTGAAAAACCTCATCGAGTGAAATTTATCTTGGATTTAAACTTTTGTTCACTTTTAAAAGAACTAATATCTACGCGAAACATACACTGAAAAAAATGTTCTCTAACCCAAAGTATCCTTCAATACATACCTGTTGTGGAAATTGGGCTGTAAGAAGTGGTGTTGTACGAGTTATTGAAATGTGGTGCTGGAGGTGGTGCTACTGGAGACAAGGGGGCTGCCTTTGGTAGGGTGTTGTAGGTCGGAATAGGTGCAGTGACGCTAGAAAACGGTTTCGGTCCAGATACGTTCGTCGTCTGAAAATTAACGATGATTAGCAGAAAATACAGGCAGTCTTTGGAAATGCCCAGGAATGCTTTCGATTCCGGTGGCCTTTTTTTAATTTTTTGTAATTGAACATTGTTTGAAATCAAAAACCTTTCGAAGCGGAGAAAGAATTGTTAATATTGTTTGAACAATGTGTACGACATTTATATAAGCGATTCAATTTTGTGGTTGTGGTGGTTGTAACTATTTGTTTAAAATGGTCTGTCAAGAAACTTAATGTGACAAACCAAGTTCTACGCTGGCGAATCCGCGGGCAACAGCTACTAATTTATATTTTTACTTCCAAAACACAGTAACTGAAAAAATTTGTCGACTGCACTGAGTAATGAATAGCTTCGAGAATCGAATTATGTTACCTATAAAGATAACACAACCGTCAACGACGTCTGACCTCACGCGTCTGCCCGCGTTCGGGTTGCGTTCACGGCGATGACGCTTCATTGCTTAGGCCGTCCCTCTACCCCCGAGCATCGTCTCCCGTCGTCTTAGAGTAGACGTGACGCGTAATGGCTTACTGCCATTATCGTGATAACTTTTGAACGATTCGTCCAAATTACCTCGTATGAAAGACAAAGTTCATCTATATTAAATATTCAAAACGACAGCGCACGCCAAGATAGCTCTCACGAAGTAAGATTTTTTCCGGCTCATTTAATAGTTATCGTTATATTACGATCAAAATTACACAAATCCTTCAGGTGTATTTATGTAAAGTTTTAACCAAATTCTTCAGTCGTTAAGGCGTGAAAGAGCCACAAACATACATACATACATACATACATTTACCATCCTCACAAACTTTCACATTTATAATATAAGTATAGATATAGATCATCTTCGAAACGTAGATTTCCGCTTAAGGGCTATTTCGTGAATGAATCGTATGACCCATCTATGAGTTAAACTGCAATAGGTGTTCAGAAAACAGCTACAGATTCCGTCATCTTGATTGAAAGTAGTTATCGTTTTGTCAACCCCCACTGGATTCATTATTTTTTTCCGATTTTTGGTTGAACTTACAAGTGAAGTCTTTTAAAATATTATGTCACTGGTACATTTGTCGGAAGTGATTAACTGAGTTGTATAGTATAGAGGATATTCACATTAAGAAAGAATGACGTCACTTTTGGTAATTTTGTGTATCCAACATAACAACTTTAAAATTCACAATGAAATGCGTTCAATAGCAATGAAACTAGTGAAATTTCCTTTTGTAAGTTGCTCAACTGTCAGTCTCTCTTTTCTTTTCAGAACTGAACATTTCTTTTGATAATAACTGCGCATATTCAATATGACTTAAGCATTGTCGAAACAGTCTCAATAAATTTGTATTTCAACTAAGTAAGTTATTAGTAAGTAAGATTAATAACAATAAAACAAATTAACAGTACAAAAAAATTTGAGAGTTGGAAATAGTGCACATGTTGGCAACGCCGTAACTTGCCACAAATTAAAAGTACAAAAAAATTTGAGAGTTGGAAATAGTGCACATGTTGGCAACGCCGTAACTTGCCATCTTGTGACGTGAATCTCTTCTTAACGCGAATATCTTAATTTTCAGAGATATAGGTACCAAAACGAGAATTCATCTTAAATGACGTACAAATTGGACATGTTTTCAAGTTGATTATTGTGAATACTTGAGCTTTTTTGTGGATCAATATAATGCGCCTTCATTTGTGAATGGTCTTACAAAAATGCACTTTCCTCTTGAGTAGCTATCTACCTTTCTACGTCAGTATGAAAACGCTAGAAGATCTATTGTGTAGCGAAACACGTTATGCGGTTTTGTAAACTGTTTTGTGAAGATCTCACAATGAAATGTTACTTGAATTCCTTCTTAAAGTCTTCCAGAATGTTAACGGTAGAAATGAAACGCGGAAGGTTAGATCCAAAGTGAGTGAGTCTATTCGATCTCCACCGCAACCCGCAAGGGTTTATTGTGGCTCACACCTATTCCTCCCGACCCAATAAACACAGCTTCAGCGGGGCAGGCACAAAGTATCTGCTCTGCTGTTTCATCATTTTCCAAACAGAGGCGACACACACTGTCTTCCGACAGTCCGAGTCTCTGCATATGATGATTCAAATGACAGTGACCTGTGAAAAGACCTCTCAGACATCGTAGTTCATCCCTACTGTAGTCCAACAACTGTTAGGTATCAAGCTTCGAAGAGTGAATAAACGCCTTGCAGTGAGCCAATCCTGGAAGATTCTGTCAGAAGTCCATAAATCTTCTTGTCATCCAGGTGTTCAATCTTTGTTTGGCAAAGCCTAAAGCGATGCTAATGACAGGTTCTGGTCCGATGAAGCTGCTTGCAGCACCCTCCTTTGCAAGCGAGTCAGCAGCCTCATTCCAGGCCAGTATGGCCAGGAATCCAGACCACAGACAATTTGTTACGTCTTCCTATCGAGGAGAGTCGTTTTTGGAAATTTACTTCCAATTTAGACGTTGCTCGGTAGGAGCCAAATCCGCTTGACTGTCCGAGAATATTTTTATTGACTTGTATATGAGGTTGGATTCTTCTCATCTCTCCACATACAATTCAATAGCGTAAATTTTCGCTTGAAATACAGTCACATATGTTCTTAGGCAGGTTGATATATCTGTCCTGGGTCTGCGACTGAAAATACCTGCACCAGTACCGAAAGGTATTTTTGATACACCTGTGAACCAACAACTATCTGCTCTTAATATTTCTTTCTCCCGGAGGATCCAGTCCTCTCTAGTCGGAAACAGTACTTTATAAGAAAGTTCGTAGTTGAGAGTTGGAGGGATAAAGTCAGAGGTAATTTTCAGAATGCTGTGACTTCCAGTGTCAACTAACAGTCTGTTGCACTCTGCATTAAATGGATTTGTGCAATTGGCAATGTGCACAAGTCTATATGCAGTCATTTAGCCTCTCTCTCCAGAAAAATGTGGAGAGGATTTGTTGATAGACACAATGGTTACTATTCAATACCACTCCCCCCTTAAACAAACTCAGTCACTCGATTCCTTGGATCAATAGATATTGAAATTGAGGTGATAATTTCTTCAATATCAAAACCACTTCACTCTGGTAAATATTCGGAAAACTTAGAGACACTTACTTTGATTCATTTTCTGTTTTATTTTGTCTAGTGACACGACGGTTTGAGTTAGACTGAAATATCGACTGGCTGTGGTGGAAGGTTCTAGACACAAGCTCAAGTTTGTCGAATATTCCATAATAAGTACTTCAATTGCCGTATCACACAATCAACTATGAGAAGAGAGAAGAAGTATCATTGGAAATTGCGAAATTTCAGTCGAGTGCAGGATAATTTCACAAAGGCTTGCCATGGAATTCCGGGGGACAAACAACTTCCATACAAAGTGCATTCAGCTCACGAGCTTCACGAATATACTTTCGACCGAAAATTATAATTGCGAAATGTTACTGTGAATGAGCAAAACTGCCGGACATTCGAGAAATGAAAGCTCATAACCAATATCCATCCTCACGTTCTTTCATACATTCTTCATAGGGAAGTCTTTGAGATCTGTAAGCATGCCAACAATTTTAACAAAAAAATAAGAAGGTATACGAATCAACAGAATGACCAGAAAAGGACTAGAACTGAGATCCATCCAACAGTACACTTATCAACAACGTGAATCAATCAGAACACCTCAGCAGAAGTGCTGACCAGTCAGGAGTGGCCATTCTTATGATTGTCTCATCCTCACCACCTCCTACCAGTATGAATATGGGTGAACAAAGAAGTCAAATCTGGAGTCCCTCAGGGCTCTGTTTCCCCCCTTACCTATTCCTCATTTATGTAGACGATGCTTCGACACGATCTTTTACTCTTCCGCAACAAACACACGCACACTATAATGACAAACACAAACAATGATTAGCTACCCTGTTTTTTATGATGCAGCAAGTGGTGTATCAAAATTAACCTGACCAAACCACAGGTTATTCTTTTCAGACACTCGAACACCACAACCACCTTAACTGAATACTAAGCACTTGGATCTCAGATTATTGAAAGAGAACCTTCTGCTCCTAGAATGTGACCAACTTGGGGGTTACTTCCACGGGGACTCTCAATTGAGAAACGGACCTACAGGACACCCTTGATAGAGGTGTCCAGGGTGTCCCGAACAAGAGCAAATACCCTGAAATATTCGAGAGGCAAGCTCAAAGGATGTGTCAGTGAAACTCTAACAAACACATACAAAGCCTGGACTATAAAGCAATAATATACTGTGCGATCTCCCGAGACTATCCCATCACATATAACAACTGAGAGGAGAACATCAGGTGACAAACACAACCTCCCATTTCGATTCCTTTACTACGAATTTTATGACACAGTGAATAATACCCATACATTCGGGATTTCACGAACTTCAAGGCCAATACATCGCCAAGACCCTTGGCAGCAGCAACACCACTGCTATAGACACGCTGGCCACCCTTTGGAAGTCCCGCGTTTCCTCTAGAAGGATTACAAGATAGAAGCTTTCGTTTTCCCCAGTCAGGCTCCTAGGAGCCCTGAAGGATATTCGGAAGCGATTCCAGGACAATCTTTGATGAGTTCCTGCTGGCAAACAGGTAGTGGGCAGCCCACAGCCTGGAGCACACCAAAGTCCGACTTATTCCCCCATTCCTACCCTAGGCCTACCCGTACCGGAACTCACCAATTTGACCACCAGTTACTGCACCCGGACCATTTTTCGAACTACAATAGGATAACACCACATATAGAACCGCAATGCCTAAGGAACACGGAAAAACTCATACTAACTATACTAACCTAGAATAAGCGTATTGCCAATTAATACTAACCATTAACCTGGATATACTTTACTTCACTTCACAATACTAACCTAGATCAAGACCTAATTGTGAGAGGCATTAGCCAATAGCAGGGCCCCTCACAATCTTATGTAATAACACTAACCCATTACCAAAATTTGTCAATAAACGTTTTGTTTGAGCTTTCCAGTCAGTCGTTGTTGAAAGATGACTGCCGCACATCTTCAGTCAAAATGTTTGTCACTGCAAGTTTCTTTCGACCACAAGCTAGTAGCCTGGATTTTGTTATTTGTTATACAGTGTCATCCCAAAGTATGCACCATATGGGAAACTTCTTTATTAAGAGTTTTTCGACAAAATATTATTCCTGATAAAAGTTTGTGAATCCCCTGAAACTAAACATGCACCAACAAAATACAGTAAAACATACGTAATATACGAGGAGCCTTCAAATATTTGATTTTGAGTCAGGCGTAAAGTACTCTCATTTTGAAAAAATCTCGGAAAATGTAATTTGAGAAAGTTGTTCAGCATCAAAAAATACATCCATATTTGACTACATGGCCATCTAAGTGGAGTTTTATTCTTTACCAATTTTTTTTTAAATGGGCATTACAAAAAATTAATTTGTTAAAACGATAAATAGATAACATACTGTATAAAATGGTTTATTTTGGAAGCCTGAAATATTACGAATTAGACAACTATGGTATTAACCACGGTCAATTTTTTTGAAGAGTACAATAATTTTCAGTTATTCGTGCAGTTATTTTTATTTTTTGTTAACACCGAAAATTACTCAAAATTATACAGTACTGTAACAAGAACTTGGTATTCAATAATATCAAATCACAAAACATCTTGATAAAATAGGTATTTCGGAACAAACTCGTTGATTTTCTGGAGATTTTCTTGTCCAAAATAATTCTTCAAAATAAACTCCAGAAAATCAACGAGTTCCAATACCTATTTTATTTTGATGTTTTGTGATTTGATATTATTGAATACAGTATAATTTTGAGTAATTTACGGTGTTAACTCTTCAATATTTCACTCTTCAATAAAATTGACCGTGGTAACACCATAGTTGTGTAATTTGTAATATTGCAGGCTTTTGAAATTAAACGTCATATACAGAATGCTGTCTATTTATCGTTTTAGCAAATTTTTCTTTTCGTAGTTCCCATTTTAAAAAATTGGTAAAAAAATTAAACTTCACTTAGATGGCCATGACTTCAAATCTAAATGTATTTTTTAATGCCGAACATTCTCAATAATATTTCCCGAGATTTTTTAAAATAAGAGTACTTTACTCCTGTCTGAAAATCAAATATTTGAAAGCTCATCGTATAATACGTGTGTCTTACTATATTTTGTTGGTGCATGTTCAGTTTTATTGGATGCACAAACTTTTATCAAGAATAATTTTTTGTCGAAAAACCCTTAATAAAGAAGTTTCCCATATGGTGCATACTTTGGGGATGACACTGTAGATACATTGATTTTTTTGGTGATTTTTTCATCATCCTGTATAAATTTATCACATATCTGAAATCAGTGTTCATGCAAATCTTACATATAACTACTAGACTATTTGTACTCGGAGACTGTTTAGAATAAAAAGAACCGTTAGTAGTTAGTACTTACCTTGTTCAAAAACTTTCTGTACGAAAGAGGAGTTGAAGGACTAAACACACTATTATTATTACTAGCTTCGTTTGAGTTAGACTTTGGTAAAACTGGCACCGACGAAGAAACATCTACATTCCCGTTATTTTCCTGCTCCTAAAAGTGCCAATGGGGTGAGTTTTCTGTGTTGCATCATGCAGAACACTGTGCAAGGGTTAAACGTGTTGAGAAACAAGAATAAAACCGGTATCTAAAATATTTCGAATGCCTTTGAACAAGTCTAAAACAATTTTGGAGAATATCAAAGCTATATTCCGGCATTCTGCAGATTTTCATGTCCGACGTTTTGTCTATACATGCCGTAGAGGAATCCTCAGGCACAGAATTTTAATATTTTTGTTCTCGGAGATGATGGTTTTATTCTTGTTACTATTAGAAATAATTTGAGATGTTTACCTGGTAACTGGGGGCAAAGTTATTATTTATCTTTGGTGATAGTGGTGATTGTGTTGGTAACGAATGAGAGGATAGAGCTGAAGATATTGCGTGAACAGGTGCTTTTCCACCACTGAAACAAAAATGTGAATAATTCAGCACTCTCTTCGAAAACAAGTACAAAGTTTGTTTATTAAATTGTTCTGTTCTGTTATGCAAGAGATGAAACTGAGATCATTGAAAAAAAATGTAAAACTGACAATGAACAATTAATCAGTAATATGCACTACCTTTGAATTTTTTCAAATGTTTCACATTCGACCAACAATCACGAAAACTTGAAACACAGAAATATGTTTGATATAAGGGCTATTCAAATTCCTTTCTGTACATGGGGGATCTCGTAAATAGAGTGTCGGTTAAATTGTTGCAAAGTTGCGTATTTTAGAGACTTATTCAATGACTTAAAAAAATCGAATAATCTCATTTGGTTCTGGAGATATACAGAAAAAACCAAAAATTACCAAATTATGTTTTCGCTTATATCTTCTCTATTCGCAGACATATTGAAAATCTGTCCACATCCTGCTGTTGGCACTTGATGTGGGCTATCAGAATATATTCATGAATTTTTATACTGGGTGTCATCTGACTTTGGTCACCCCCATTTTTGAATTTTCAAATACGGACCTGTATTTTTGTTGTAGTTTTTGTATCGTTGACATTCACTTCATACTGAGAAAATAATTTCAATTTTTTATTTCGGGATGTTTCGGTAATATTTTATTATAATTGTGTGAATTATTCTCTTTTAAATTGCGGCCCTGGAAAGTGGTTGACTGAGTTGAATAAAAACACAATAGCAACTTTCACGTCTCCCTATGTACCGTAGAGTTTTTCGAGAGTTTTTTTTTCATTTTTAGGTACCTATTCATATTTTTTCCATTGTTCTGAGCGTTTTCTACAATGAACTTCGAATAGGAAAACATTTTATGATTATCTGAAACATATCAATATCAAAAATATATTATATGTGTTAATAAGCAGAAAAAGAAATGATAGCAATAATAACATCCGAAACGAACATTATAATTGTAAGGAAAATTGAAATGAAGTAATTCAGTCCGAAATAGTAAGATCTGGTCATCTTGCAGGCCCATCATTTGTCTCGAAATGAAAGGGCTCCAATTATTGCGCCATTAATTTTTTTGTGTATATAAATTATTTCATTTCAATTTTCATTATAATTATAGTGTTCGTTTCGGATGTTATTATTGCTATAATTTCTTTTTCTGCTTAGTGAAACACACATAATATATTTTTTGATGTAGATATGTTTCAGATAATCATAAAAGGTTTTCTTATTCGAAGTTCATTGTAGAGAACGCTAACAGCAATGGAAATATGAAAAAATATGAATAGGTACCTAAAAATGAAAAAAAAAACTCTCTAAAAACTCTACGGTACGTAAGGAGACGTGAAAGTTGCTATTGTGTTGTTATTTCAGTCAACCAATTTCCAGGGCCGTAATTTAAAAGGGAATAATTCACACAATTATAATCAAATATTACCCAAACATCCCGAAATATAAATTAAAATTCAATTTCAAACTATGAAGTGAACGTCTACGATCCAAAAACTACAACAAAAAATACAGGTCCATATTCCAAAATTCAAAGATGGGATATAAAAGATGCATGTACATATTCTGATAGCCCACATCAAGCGCCAATAGCAAAATGTGGACAGATTTTCAATATGGCTGCGAATAAAGAAGATATTTGATATTTTTAGGTTTTTCTTGTATATCTCCAGAACCAAAAAAGCTATATTCAATTTTTTCACATCATTGAATAGGTCTCTAAAATACGCAACTTTGCCACAGTTCAACCGACACTCTATCTCTTATCGTTTACGAGCTCCCCATCTACAAAAGCGAATTTGAATAGCCCTGTATAATTCAAGTGGAGAAATCTGACTGGAAATCCTAATAAAAACTTTATTTTATATCTGTTTCAAATTTAGGTGCAACGTTTTACATTTCAATTTTTTTCGATGAGTTCGTTTTCAGATCTTGCAGAATGTTTATTGAATGTTAATAAATATTTATACTTACGGGGGTACGGTGATTGGTACTAAATTAGGGTTGGGGCTGTTTTTGAGCGCTGCAGACTTGGCATGTATGTCACAATATAGCTTGTTGTTGATGTTGTAATATCTGAAAGGACGAAAACTGTGATATCTGTATACCCAAATGCCCTTTTAGAGTATTACCCAACGTTTTTCAGCGATGAACCGCAAGTAGAGCACTTAAAGCACTCAACGTGCAGATTTTTGTCCTTGATTCTGACAAACACACCACTGAAAACAGAAAATTCATAAACTAAACCGAAAATACAATTTCATTGATTTTGGACAGTGGATACATTGTTCCGGATTCACAGAAATTCACGCTAGCTGTTTCACATTAACTATCTGTTGAGCCTCATCAAAGTATGCTTCACTCAAAATAAACTATGAGGAATTAAAGTTTTTGAAAAATTTCACAAGAAATACGACTCAATCAAAAAGTAGATCAAAATAGCATCTTACTTTGACTTTTTATATACTAATGATAATTCTAAATGTTGAAACAGATTCATTTCATTTCGAAACTATTATGTATCAAATTTGATGTTTTCTGGGTAGTATAGAAGTTTTATGAATGGCTGAATACCAAGATTCATGTTTTAATCCTACTGATCATTGCTGTTTGTAGAAAAAACACATTGGCATAAAAGTTTTGTATTGTTTTGCGATACAGCTGAAGGAATTTTACTATGACAATTCTTTTTCCATATTCGTATGATCATTTGCAGTATCTAAGTAGGTATACCAATTTTCTTACCAGCTCGTTATATTCTAATCAAGTTTACCCTGGAAATGTTCTCTTAGAACCAAAAGCATAAAGGATGAATAGATTTTTTCAATAATTTTATTATATTGACTTATCAATATTCAACTTTTCAGTTCAATTTACTTCTAGGAATGGTTTCATCTAAACACACTTCATGCAGAAAACAGTTGCATTATGGATATTGTGCTGTTTAGAAATGGGAAATGTGGCTGAATATAAACTGGTGATTCATGCAAGAAAGTGGGAAGATTCGAAAAATAATGGAATGGTTTTGAAACGTAAAATTCTTCTAGTTTTAGCCTCGTTTCATTTCCTTCTTTCGAAGCATGCATGTATATCTGAGAAATAGATAGAAATGATGGATTTCTGGTTGAGAAAAACACATTCTACGTAAAGAAAAAAGATGGGTATAAACAAAGCACAGACAATTCTTTGCTTCTAAATTATTACATTTCGTGTCATCCCACATGTGAAAATATCATTTCTCTAGAGAGTAATCCCTTCAAAACAAGATTTGATAGTTCAATATACTGATTATTAAATTTTTTATTTCTCATTTTCAGTTTATAACTTATATATCTATACAGTGCGTTAAGTATAAAGTCCCTTCTTTTGTTTGAAGGTGGTTGACAATGTCATTAGTTCGGACTTCCGTTGTCTAATATAATATAAGTTGATTTGAAGTTCCTGAAAAAATCTATGCAAATTAAAAAGATAAGCTAAAAAATAACAATTATATTAAGCAAAAAAACTGAAATTACAATGAAATAAAATACAAGCAACAATTGAAAAATTAACAAGAGATGAAAATTCAAAATTGAAAGATTTCAAGCCAAGTTACTTCACGACGTTTCGATTATTAGTATCCACAATCGTGATGACTGGAATTATTCCTCCGAGATCTGAATTGAATTCTGAATTTTCTCCTGAACCAGTGTTCCTCCTTGTGGATGATCTTAGCTTGAGACCACTTGATGTTTTGTGCTCGACAATGCGAACTTCCAATGGCCTCTCAGTTTCTTCCATATAGGATTTGCCGCACTCAAAGGGTATCCGGTAAATGTAATTCTTGGAATCGCAGACCGCGTTTGGTGGCCTTGTTTTCGTGAGGCTGCTACGGATAGTGTTCCCAGAACACCAATCTTTCTAATCCTTTTCGATAATCCTACGATCTAGGGAAGTGCAAGTACTGGTTGTGACGGCTTCTCTTCTTTGCGAGGCTCCTGCTGTCTTTCAGTCAAAGTATGTTCTACCATCGCTTTGGAGTAGTCATTCCATTGAATATAATTTTTAATGATGTCTAGTTCCTTCACGAGACCTTTCTTTGTATTACAGAGCTCGAAAGCACGATCTACTACAATTCAATGATTCCTCTCTTAGTCGACTGATGGTGGTTGGATTCCTGGTTCAGATACTGCCCCGTGTGTGTGAGTTTTCTGTATACAGATGTTTCCCATTTAGTGTCGGTCCTCTTCACCGATACGTCTAAGAATGGACGTTGTGAAATTCCTTTTCCATTGTGAAAGTGAAGAAAGGACTTGCATTGTTGATGTGCATCAGGAAGTATCTAGGTCTGTATTCCTATGGTTCCATATTATGAAGGTGTCATCAACGTATCTCAACCAGAGTGGGCTCCTTCAATGGCCAGAGTTTCGAACCACTTCACATATATATTGTTATAACCGGTGAAAGTGGCGATCCCATTGGCAGTCCCTCATCTCGCGTATGGAATTCGTCCTTCAGTTGGAAATAACAGTTTCGTACCCAGCATTCTAGTAATTCCATGATTACTTGTATCGGTAATTTTGTTCTATCTTTCAGGTCCACATCTTCGGATAGCTTCCTCTGTATGCTTTGAAGTTCTTCTTCGATAAGAACGTTGGTGTAGAGGCTTTCCACGTCGAAACTGATTAGTTGATCCTGCTCTGTGATTTCGATTGCCCCTATCCGTAGCAGCCTCACGAAAACCAGGCCACCAAACGCGGAGTGCGATTCCAAAAATTGCATTTACCGCATACCCTGCGAGTGTGGAGAATCATACATCGGTGGAACTAAGTGGCCATTAAAAGTTCACATTGCCGAGCACAAGGAACATACACAGCGAGGACGAACTACTAGATGATCACTTGATGAGGATCACTTGGTGATCGAAACACGTGTCGAGGTGTTAAAATAACGATTTGGTGTTGGGAAAAAACTCCAGCGAAATTCATTACTACGCCGAAGGTTTCAAACAGTGCATTACAAGGACATATAAATACTTAGGCAGATCTCGGAGAAATAAGTCCAGTCATCGCCCGAAGATGATTGTCAATACTAACAATCGAAACGTCGTGAAGTAACTTGGCTGGGAAACTTTAAATTTTTAATTTTAATTTCTTGTTAATAATTTTTAATTTTCATTTCTTGTTGATAATTATATAATTTTTTTTAGCCAATCTTTTTAATTTCCATTGAGATTTTCAGGGATTTCAAATCAACTTATCATCATAGTAGACTATGGAAGTTCGAACTAATGAAATGCAAAGTCTCTCCTGTTTTGAACGAGACGAGATATCAAGGTTCATACTTAAGTGTGTTATTGATTTTTGTGATTATCAGGTCCAAAAAGTTCATCGAATTATTGGTTTCGAATTGTATTGTTGATTTTATGCATAACATAACGTTGAAATTACGAATGCATAACATAACACAAAATTCACACTAGAATTCTAAACCAATAATTAGATAAACTTTTTGAGTTTGACAATCATAAAAATTAACAACAAACATTCTAATCACCTTTAGCAACATAAACTAACATCTTACCACATCCTGATCCACATCGTGGTCTACGAAATTTGAACATTCGCCTCATATTTTGAACAACAGTCCACGTAAACATTAAAATTTTTTATTAACGACCAACAAGAAATTAATCTTTCACCCCTGTTGAATTTTTCATGAGAAATTCCCTAGTATTAGTCGAATCATTAGTATTAATAATTTTCACCTGCTTTGTATCTGCAGGCTAACTATTTTTAAAACTACCCGTTTACCAATTAATGCTCTCTATTAATTAAGATCGATATTTTGTATAATATTTTGTAAAGTAATGTAGAGTACCAATCCAACTGGGTGAACTAATATTTAGTACCTTCATGATCTTACAATGGTACATATAGTTGCATATGCAGACGACACCAACCTTTTGATTAAAGCAAAAAATCCCATAATACTTCCAGAATTAACTGAAGTGGTCTATAATAAAGTAATTACATGGGCTACTAAAAACCATCTACCACTCAACATCAACAAAACAGTGTTAATGAAATTCTCATTAGGTAATAGGAATGAAATCGGAAATGAAGTTTATATTGTAAAGATTTGTAATTATTATCTATTATGAATAGTGTTATTGATTTTCTTCAAGTAACGGATCAGTGTATTCGAAATATGTATTATAGATTCACAATAGTGATATGTTGCCAGTAAAACATCAATTCAACTTTCGGTAATATTTAAAGATTTACAAGTTTTCGTATGACATAGAGTCTGAGACTTTTCACTATATAGTCGAAGTAACCAGTATTGTGAATAGTTAAAGGTATCGGCGTCCTCAAAAGCCAAAAAAACAAATACGAAGAAATGATGTCGCTGCCGACTAGTCCACGTGGACTGAAGAATTGGCGGTTCGTATTGAATAATTTTTACTATCCGAGTTTTATGATTGGCTGAAAAGTCATAAAATCAAATTTGAAGTCATGTTACGGCGACGAATAGAATGCGAGGATGTTTGTACTTGTTGTGTTGTCAATGTTCAGTTCAGGAACTGATCGCGATTTGAGTGTTGAAATTTGATATTGGTGCAGTTATAATTACTTAAAATTTTTGTTATCTGTTTAAAATGTGGCGTCCTTGGACGAGTACTAATAGTAATAACGAGTGTAATAACAACGCAGACTTTTTCCTGTATAGTGATTCCAATAGAGATGGTGAACAATGCAAGAGAGAGATACCAGTGAATAATATTCGGATGCATTCAAATATTGAAACACTGAGAGGATATTGCAATGTATATAAGAATCTACATCTCAAGTTTGGTTTCGAGGGAAATACACTATTACAGGCAACATTAGATTTGACCGAAATTCCTTTCTCAACTGTACGTAAAATAGTCAAAAACAAACCTTATGAATGCAAGACGCGATGTGATGCGGGATTACCAAAACCTTTAGATGTTCATTTAATAAAATCATTGAAAAAACAATATACGACTGTTACAAAAGCAATGAGATTCCTACAACTGAAATCATAAGAAAGAAATTGAATACTTCCGGCTATAACGTGAGCTGCTGTAACAAAACTCTTCAGAATTGGATAAAGAAACTAGGATTTAGATTCAAAATAAGCAGTTATGGAAAGCAGAAGAATAGTGGAATTGCGTGACAAATACTTAGAACAATAAAAAAAATTATATTTGGACGAAACTTGGTATGACACTCACGACACAGCTACGAAAGGATGGACTGATGGTTCGAGAATGTGTACGCCTAATATGCCTGCGAACAAAGGATCGCAAATAATCATTGTGCATTGCGGAGGAAGTAAAGGATGGGTTCCAAGTTCTTTGAAATTATTTGGAAAAAACTTTGAGGACTGCAATGTCGACTATCATGAGAACATGGAAGCTAATATTTTTGAGGAATGGTTTGGGAACACATTGATCCCAAATATAGATGTGAATAATGTAATAGTTCCTGACAACGCTTCCTATCATTCGCGGCAGCTCATCGAAGTACCGAATAACAATTCGAGGAAAGATGGATACAAATTTGTATTTTGAAGATAACTATACAAAAAACCAACTACTTGAAGTTTCACAGACAAAAACATTTGGAAATGTGTATGCCTTTGAGAGTATTGCTGAAAAGTATGGACATACTATACTGAGACTTTCCTCCTATTTTTATGTTTTCAATCCCATCGAGTTGATTTGGGAAAAATTGAAACAAAGCATCAGGTGTAAAAATAATTTTACAAAATTTGATAAGAAGGTAATAGAGCTAGTTAAAGAAGAATTATCTAATATTACCGAAGAAAGTTGAAAAAGACTATATGGAGATTGGACACTTCCATATTAATGGTGGAAATAAATTCATTATTGATTTAAATGATGACAATGATAATGAAACAGAGAATATGGAAGAAGAATGATCAGAAGCTTCCGAAGAAAGTTATTGAAGTGTTTTTGAAGCGATCGATTGTATATATATGCGAGTAAGTAGTATTCAGAAGTATTTTCAAATGACAGTACGACCAGCTGTCGAAAGCGCTCGCAGATAATTCATAGAAGATATATATATAATATAGTTATTGTGATTCTTATATAATCAGAAATGAAAATTAAATAACAAAATTAGTTAGCTCCCTAACTATATTATTAAAGGGGAACTCTTGGAAGGTACGTTGCATTATTTCGTTTACTTGAACTAAACATATTCATGTATCCTAAATGTGTGTCATTTTAAATAGAACTCAAAATGAAAACTAATTGTAATATGCATTTTCTTTCATTTTTCCGTTTTTGATAAGTTTTGGGGTTACTCTTTAGAGAGGGAAGTGAACAAAAACATACATGGAACTTTAGTCAGGTGACTCTCAATATGTTTTAGAGAACAGAAATCAAAGAATCTATCTACGCTGTGCAATTTTTTCTACAGGAACTAAGTAGCAAAAATCAAAAAAGTGTGTATGGAACACATGCCAGGGCATCAAAAACAGTCGAGCACATAGGTCTAGATCTAGAACAACATCGATAGCCATCCAACATAGTCGTCGGACTTACACAATGACCCTTTCGCAATCTGTACACACTGTAACTGCTTCTGAGGCGTTACTCTGTTTCGGGTGTTCACCCTGTAGGCTGCTGGGAGATCGGGTGTGAATTATTGGGGGGTAACTTTGTGCTGGAACGGTCTTTCGACCTCCGATCGCGTGGCTATGTGTTGAATAAAAATCGTGGCTTACTGTGGGAAAAACAACTGTTCAAAAACTGACTGCTAGCTTGACATGCAGTGTGTCGAAAAAAAAACGGCGAGATTTGAGTTTGGTGAGATCGAAATATAGATAGTAATATCAAACAGAATGGTATACGTTTGTATGAAGGGATTTCTCCCCCACCAGCCTCAAGCTCTGATAGTTGATCCAACACACTGCGCCACTAAAAATATAAATGGTTCCCACGTTCTCCGGTACTGAGGCAAGCTGCAAGATGACCCTGAAATAGAGAATACTTACACAATGAGACGTTCGCAATCTGCACAGATATTTTGGCCAGGAGGTAATTGCGGGTTGGCTGGAACAGGTCGATTTTCGGGAGCCTGGACACGTCTTAATCCTGCTACGCCGATGGTCGGGGACGTTACTACTCCTGACTCCGGTTCTGAATGGGCAAATGTTATACATATGGTGTTCTATATACTCGGTAGATTTATGCTGTGATTAGATCATTCATTGATGTCCTTTTTTAAAATTATATGCAAAGATCAAGAAACATGACTGAATATTAAAAAATTTATAAACTCGAAATATTTTAAATTATTTCTTTAACTTCAGTTTTTCTTTTATATTTTGAAGTTGTTGAATGCCGTTTATATTTTTTTTATTTCTCAGGGTTTCACCGACACGAGTGGTTGATATCTTCAGGAGGAATATTGTGACTGACATACAATAGAAAATTCTATGTCATACATTCAACCATGAAAAATGGATGAAATGACAAATATTGGGTGTAATACCGATACAAACAAGACAAAAATATGATTTTGGACTGAGAAGAAATAAAATCTGATCATTTTGTATGTGAAATACTTGAAAATTGAGATAGGATTTTTAATTGTAGTTCATACATAACTTTATACAAATGGAAATGGATTCTCAGATGTCTCAAGAGAAAGGAGAATACAGTAGCGGAGAAGCAGATTTGTCAATGAAGTATGATTGGGGGAATAAAGAATAAAGTGATTCAGGATAAAATAGAAGGGGAATGAAAAATTAGGACCTACTGCTTTGTTTTCTATGTAGGTATTCAAAACAAAAAGCAATCACCAACAGACAGGAACGATAAGAATATCAAAGATATTGCTCAAGGTATCAACAATCCCAGACTTTATGACTATAAGAGTATATTATCAATCTATTTGGGCACATTCAACAGGAATATTGGAATATTGTGATAAAAAAAATTAAGTTGAATAAGGTTGGGAAGGAGTCCATCCACTGTAACATCGAAACTTTCTCATTCAACCTTATTACATAACATAATATTATTGAATTTATCCACAGTAAATTCATCAACCTAATATTTACGTATGAAAGTGTCCGTGCTTATAATGAAACTAAGGAAATGAAGTAACATTGAATTTTCCTTTCAAAATCAAAAAACATAATTTTAGAGTATCGACGGATAGAAATGTTATTTTGAACGTAATCCGTTTCATGGTAGAAGAATCCATTGAAATACTTATTATATAACAATCATTCTATATAGGTCAGTCAAGAAACAGGATAATTGATCCTGGGCTTTGCGGACCCTGTTTGTATGTTTCAGTGCCAGTTTTTCACATAGATTTTCTTGTACTCGTCTTGTTCAGATAATTATTCATTTCTGTTCATCATAACTATGCAAATTAACTTGTGATCAATAAAGCAATTAACCTTTATACAAACCTGTTCAAAACATTCAATAATATTGCAATTTTTATAAAATTGAGAGATATTACCTTCATCGGGGGTCTTTGGTTCGTTTTCTGATTCTTTGAGCATGCGGAGAACTGCACTATTTGAGGCATCGTAGTTCTTTTCGTTTTTCTTGAAATTAACTCTGGAAAATGAAAAAAAAAACATTGAAAATAGAGCCAATTGTTTAGTAAGTTCCACTATCAGTAAGCAGTTACAGGCAAATGCATTCTAAGAGACAGTATTTTTATTCAGGGATGAATAAAGTGTTTTCAATGCATTTTATCAATGCATTTATCATGTTACAAGAGCAAGCGTGTCGCTTTATTGAAAGAGCGGTAGTTTGAAAGTTTCGATAATGTTTCGAGCAGTAATGGCCGGGAAAGAAATATTATCTTCATAAGCAAATCAAATCTTATTATCAAATTTCTTAAATTTATCGATATTATAACAAAATTATAAACATGTACTACTCGCTAATAACCACTAGGTTGATGCGAATTTGCTTAAATAAAAAAAAATACTTTTAACCATTTCAATCGAAGCACACAAGTATAAAAGTCGCACATAACTAAAAAGATCTTGAACGTTTGCAAAAAGACAAGGTTATTTACAATGCTATTATTATGGAAGGTAGGGATGTGGAGAGTGTAAATCTCGAATGAAGCTCTAACCGTTGAAGAACAAGGAGAGCTACATAAAACGTATATCTATATCATAACACTCTTCATATTAGCGTCATATTGGTCGAATTTTGTACTTTTACTAGTTAACAGTCTGTCGGATCTTTCCTGCAGTAATGAAAGGTAATACCTCGAAATCGCTCTGTTGGTGATCTATTCAAATAATTTCAGCATAGGCCTGCTGCTGGATGAACGAAAAACATCTGTGAGTCTAACATCTGTGAGATATCTTGGATGAATGTCTGTCGAATATAATTCAATATCCAACAAAGGAATCAGCCGAGGAAGTAGGTGTCTTCCGACAGGTATTCATCAGAACCTACGGTGTAGGTTCTGGTTAATACCTTTCAGAATATTGGTAAGCCCCACTTGGGGCTTTGTTCGCGAGATGGAGCTATTACTAGATAACAACGTTTCTCTTCGAAAAAGTTTTCAAAAATGCATTTGAGATGAATATTTCAATATTTTCCAGCTAAATCTAAACTTGAGATGGTTCTCCTTGCCTTTACCCTCTATAGTTACTGTACAAATTAATCTAAAAACCATCAATTGATTCTATTTTAATAAACAATAACAATTCATTATTACTACTGGTAGAAACTTTCCGATTTACATAGAAAACAATCACTAATATGATTGATAATATAAGTAATTGGAAATGTTGAGATTGTGGTTATATCTTCTAGACAGAGGTTCTCAAACTTATTTTGTCTACCGCCCACTTCGAGAATTAATCATTTTCTAGCGCCTACCAAATTTTTTTACTTTACCACATCTTAAGAATCACAATCTCAGTAATTATTTTAATAATTAAATTATGTGTGTCATATGAAAATAAGACTTTCTGATGAGGCTAATGTATAACACCATTTTGTAATATTAGGAAAACTTTCATTCATGTTATTCTAGAGTACAATCCAGGATATAATTGCGGGATTGGCTTTTGTAGCCAAAAATCTTGGTATCCATTTTTAATTTTATTTTTATCTCCTCGTTCGTTATCAGTTCTATGAGTTGAAATCACTGTGGAGGTTCTCCAAATGTTGGCAGTGAACAAGCAAATTGTCGTTGTTGAAGAATACTGCTGACAAATTAGGGAAATTGCGAAACTCACGTCTGCCGATATTATTCTTGTATAAGAGCAATTTGCTCTTAGACAAGAATCCTCTCCAATAGGAGGTTTACCTGTTTGAACAATTAGCAAGTATTTATTGTAGGAAGCTCGGAATCAGTCGTTGTCTTGCTTAAAAGCCGTTAAAAAAAGTTTTGACACAGTTGGCTGAGCTGAGTGCTTCTTTTACAGTTCTTGAAAATGAGTCACACTTCTGTCTTTTTTATCTGAATGCATTTTATTCAAATGATCTTGTAGCCTTGAGGGTTTCCTAGCTCCATTCGAAAATGTTTTTTTGACAAAGAAGGCACTTAGGCGAAGATGGATTTGTGGAATTTTCAATAAATCCATATTTTATATATTCCGCGCTATACTGCCGTTTCTTCTTTTTTGCTTCCGAATCGAGTATTAAAAACTTGCCAATGACACCACTCACAGTATTCACCACCGCACCTACAGCACTTTACCTAGCTAGTAGCTAACTAAATTCACTTGTTTTCGTGATATCGTCGAATGACATTACTGGCTGGATAGCGCGCGCTTTTATATGAGGCTGCGGTCGGGCCTGGTACTTCCGAGAATAGAGACTATAGTAAAACCAATAATGATTGAGAGTAAAGCGCGTTGTCATATCTAAATTTTACGTTACCAGTTTATAGCAGAATCAAAATATAGTAAGCAGTAGAGTTGTAGGTTGTGGCAAATTATAGATAATACACAATACTAGTACGATTAAAAGGTATTATTTATGACAAAAATCAGTAATGAGCTTGTAATGAGTAATACTTATACATTTCCTGATTACTGATCAGTTAAAATTCATTATTTTCTGTATAGTGTTAGATATTTATTACAACTAGTGGCAAC